GCAAGTAGGAAAGGGGGCCACGCAAAGAGCTCTGCCCCTGGTGTTTATAACAAGCCTACACTTGTACTAGAAGGCAACAACCTTACACACAATGTACTTCACCATGAAAAGACATCCAGGATCAAGGCCGCAGAAAGGACAATGGTAATCTTCCTAGCACAATATTATGAGCCAGAGCTTCTGAAACAGTCAGTTTTCCATTCTAGCACCTTCTGTCATCCTATTTATTCCCCTGGAGAAGAAGTCTCAACAGAAATGGACTAAAATCAAAGCTACCAGCTGGCTGACCTGATGAGACTGTAGGTGTACAAAGAGAGGTAGGCGTTTCTTGATTTAATCAGGCCTTTAGCAAAAGGACTGCACTGTAGAAATCTTGCTGCACACTTCATCTGGCTTCAATAAGTGGCTTTAATGCTAGTCAGCTTAAGGCCTAAACGAAAAAGCTATCTCTAAGAAGAAATTAAGTCAGTGTCTTTCTACAGCAGGAGTGATGTCCACTAGATACATATGCTTTCTTAAGGACAGAAGAAATATGTTGTATGTACCTTAAATATAGGGGTCCAAATTCTCCTTGTACTTATACTGATGCTAATCAAGAGTAACCTCACTAACTCAGTTTCTTCACAGACCTGATGGACTCCGAGGAAGATTGACCCCTGGTTTTCTTATGCAAATTACATGATACAAAATGCAAGATATGCAGGACATGAGGACATAATATAGTCCTTAGTTATAGTGGACTTTAATATCCATTTTATTGGAACTCAAAATCTGCAAGTGAACCACAGTGGATGCTGGCATAACCCACCACTTCTGTAATGAAAGCCACGAGTTTTGCCAACTTATCTCCTTTCAAAGGTTCTCCAGATCCTCCCCCTTCCCTCGTGGAGATTCCTTGACTCCCAAAGGGCTACACAGACATGTGTGTTCCTTTGGGAATCTCTTGAATGTCCTGGAATTAATGACACTACAACTGGAACTTTATTATTTATGGGAAAGCTATTTCATGTCTTTTTTAGAGGTTTCTAAAATGTTATTGATAATCATTTCCATTTTCACTTTCAAACCTGTACACTAAGGAAGCCTGGAGTTGCAGGTGGTGAGGTATGAAAAATTGTGTGAATAATATTTTTAAAACAATTCTAAGATAGTTGTTTTGAAAAATATGTGGGATATGCAGAATGCATGATGGTGTGGTATATGGGTTTTATTGGCATTCTTTTACAATGACCTTCATAACTCATTTATGGCCTCTCAAGATAGTGTTGTGTCTTTTTAAATTCATAGCCAAAAAAAAAAAAAAAAGAATTGGACAGGAAGGGAATAGGATAGGATTTAGGCATGAGCTTTTTAGTGAAACTGAGAGTCAAAGAGGGAGGAAGCATCTTTAGAGATATTATTGTTTTTCTTGTTCTAATAAAGTTTCTTGTTCAGTGTTGGAAGAAAGTGAATGCTTTTTTACCATTCTCACATGACAATGCTTATCAATACTTTATTCATCAGATCACTATATACTTCATATTATATTTATTCTCTATTGATTTTTTAAAAGAGTTTGCCCTTAAGATTAAATGCTTTGGCTTTAAGACTGGGAATCTCAAGTGTAAAAAATAATAAAATCTGGGCAAATATTGCAAAAATATGCTCATGAACACTCATTTCAAAAGGTACTATCAACCCTATTTATTTGTTTTCTGTGAACTTTTGCAAGAATTTGGGTGGGAAATGAAAGTCTTGTGACTCTGTCGGCAGCTTCATGCTAAAAGTGTTTGTGTGGCTGTCAAGTTTCCTTCCCCACTCTGAACTCTAGGATACAGATGTGGGGACCTGCATGAAAGACCCCCTAAGCTTATTCTTACCAGCTTAGATTAAAACTTCCCCAAGGTACAAACTATTTTACCTTTTGCTCTTGGACCTGTCCAATTCTTTTTTTTTTTTTTGGCTATGAATTTAAAAAGACACAACACTATCTTGAGAGGCCATAAATGAGTTATGAAGGTCATTGTAAAAGAATGCCAATAAAACCCATATACCACAAGTAAAGGGTATCTTACTGTGGGAGGACTGTCATAAGTATAAAGAGAAGGGTAAACACCTTTCTGTATTCAGAACTATAAAATCCCTCCGGCCAGAGGCAAAACCCTTTCACCTGTAAAGTAAAGGGTTGAGAAGCTAGGATAACCTCGCTGGCACCTGACCAAAATGACCAATGAGGAGACAAGTTACTTTCAAAGCTGGAGTGGAGGGAAAACAAAGGGTCTGTCTGTGTGTGTGATGCTTTTGCCGGGAACAGAAAAGGAATGGAGTCTTAGAACTTAGTAAGTAATCTAGCTAGATATGCATTAGATTTCTGTTTTGTTTAAATGGCTGGTAAAATAGCTGTGCTGAATGGGATGTATATTCCTGTTTTTGTGTCTTTTTGTAACTTAAGGTTTTGCCTAGAGGGAATCTCTATGTTTTGAATCTAATTACCCTGTAAAGTATTCACCATCCTGATTACAGAGGTGATTCTTTTACTTTTTCTTCAATTAAAATTCTTCTTTTAAGAACCTGATTGCTTTTTCATTGTTCTCAAGATCCAAGGGTTTGGGTCTGTGCTCGCCTATGCAAATTGGTGAGGATTTTTATCAAGTCTTCCCCAGGAAAGGGGGTGTAGTGCTTGGGGGGATATTTTGGGGGGGAAGACGTCTCCAAGTGGGCTCTTTCCCTGTTCTTTGTTTAACACGGTTGGTGGTGGCAAGACATAAAAAGACATAATCTTGCATTTGTTTAATTAATCCATTTGCTTTATTTGATAATTCTCTTTTACACTATAGTAGTGGTGTTCAAAGGAAATGTTTATCAGAATCTATTACACCATATATCCTGGTGCACATATGCAAAACATACTCCGGTAAGTAACCCTATTCACACAGGTATTCCCACGGATTATTCACAAGTTTGGCCCCACCATCCCATTATAGGGCCTATCGTCTTATGTATTAACATGTTTAATATACCAGGGTTTGGCCTAAATTTATGAGTAAACATCCATCTCCTAGCTGATATCAGGAAGGCAAAGCTTCAATAAAAATGACTATTAATGTACTTTATCATTTTACCAGTACAAATATTGCCATTTTTTAAATATACATGTTTTTCATATTGGAAGCTTGTTAGCATTAAGCAAGGTAGTTTGACATTTTATTTACTATGTGTTTGTGTCTATAGAATTGTTGGCTAAGCTAAGAGATGCCATAGTGCTATTCTGACCATCAGCAGCAGGAGCCTGAGTTTTGGAGCGCCAAAGGGGATCTTATCTGTCTGGAGAGTATGCTGAGATATTGTTCTGCTTTTCCCTTGGGAACTGGTGTGTATTTATTATAGAAGGTGCCGAACAAGGATCAGTTTCATTATTGTCATGTGTAATTGCACCCTTACCGTCCCAAGCAAAAACCAGATGTTTCCCCATGAAAATACAGCCCTTGTACATATGCGTTAAAGCGTCCTCACAACAAGTCAATGCCATGCATTTCTGATCTTTAATGGGCAGAATAATGGGCAAAATAGTCACCTGCTGGGCCAAAAGAATGATCAACCAGCTCAGAAAGGAGGAGTATGTAACTGATACATGCCAAAATGGGTACTTCACTGATAAAAAAAATAAAAATCCTGTTTTAAAAAGTACAGAATGATGGTTCCTTTACATCTCCTGAACTGGCTACACAATAGAGAATTTCTGGGATTATACTGAATTATACTGGGAACTCAGTATAATCCAAGGCTCCAGTGGCTTTGGCATTTTTACCACCATGTTCATGGTTTAAGCTGCTAAAAAAATGGTAAACTGGTGACAGTACTGGTGGGAATGTTTTCCTAAAATTCACTTGTGCAGACATCTAATACAGTTTTATGTAATTTTAAAAGTTATTCCTTGTGAAATAAAGCTTTCCAAATGGTAATTAAAACTCTTAGAGCCACTCCACTGAATCACTTAATCCTTCTTCTTGAAGCACTATGACTACCCTGTATCGCCCTATATATCCTATATTGCCTTTTTAATCTCATCTATTCGCATGTCCATGTCAAACTCTGACTCTGAGAACCAACAGCCTCCATCACTGACTGATTTGTGGGGTTTTCTGCTTTTTTACATCTCTTCCAGGTGCTATCCACAACTAAGAATAGAGGACAAGAGAAAAACGCTACACTGCAGGGATGATACAACAGGCTAACCTTAATGTGTGGATGAAGACATCACTTAGACCAGATTGTGACTTCCTTTAGTCACGTTGATAAAAAGTTACTCTCACCAGTACTCATATTTCAGTCAACGGGACTACCTGAGTGAGCGAATTTTCCAATATGAGTAAGGGGCGTCCAGTCTGGTCCTTAGGAAACAACTTAAACTGTCATTAAGTGATATTTTTCAGATCCTAAACCCTATAGGAATACACTGCTTTATCATTCAGCTAAACAGAAAAATGTATAATTTAAGATACACTGACAAAAAACAAATCTGCTTTTCATAGAACCCATGTCCCTTATATATTTCCTTGAATTCCAAAGGAAACAGTCATTAAACAAAGACTTTCCTGTAGTACTTCACATTGTATATTGAAGCAAAGGGCTATAAATAAATGTGAAACTGACTTAATTGATTTTCACAATCCAAACTGAGAAAATGAAAAATAGTAAACTAACAGCAGAAAGAAAATTGGAAGGTAAATTAGATGTTGAAAATTCTGTAGGTTTGGATGGTTTGCAGTCTTATTAGCAGAAGTGGTGAAAAAATGGAAGAAAAATGTTGGTAAAATGTTATTCAATTTGTTGTAAAAATTTTGTTTCCAATACATTTTCTAGCCACCTCTAGTTATTAGAAACATAGGTCAGAGAATCTGCTTGCTTAAAATAGATTATTTGAAAGTTGGCACGTTCCCTTAGTCTGTCTCACAGAGAGCAGACAGAAAAGATTAATATATTTATAACAATGGGGAAATCACATGGTTAAGGCTTTTTACCTTGTTTTATTTCTGAGGCTTTTACTCTTTCCAGTGCAGCTGATTTCTCCCCAGTAGGATTTTGACCTTTATTACTTGCTGACAACACACCTGACAAATAGCTTTTTGCTGTGGTAGCTGAGGTTGAGCCATCTGGTTTTTCTCCCGAGATCCATGTGTTATTCATAATGACATTTTTCTTTCTCCTTCCCTGGAGAACAGCACCTGCATGCTGATTTCCTGTATGACTGTGGAATACATCACCAAGTTTAGACAACTGGTCCCTCCCATCTATGAGATGGAAAGAGCTCCTATCTGAAAGTTTCAGTGAATTGTTCATTTTTGACACTACCGACTGGGAGGTCACATCTTGGGCTGGATGACAGACAGAGGACAAATTGCAGTCCGCCTTCAGTTTTGAATTGGAAGAGGCAAATGAAGGTATCTGAGGAGGACAGAGGAGAAGAATATGTAACTTTTGAATGTTCGCAACCACAAAAAAGGCATATATCAAGATATAGTAAAACAGACCACGTGATTCTGTGCATAACGACTGCTGTCAGCAGTACTTTTCCATTTTATGAGCTGTACAGTATGTCTGTTATGCTTTCATTGGAATTTAACTCTTAAGCTCCTGCACTAGCAGGGAAATGACTAGATGATCAAAAAGTTCTTTGCTTTTTGCCATCTCTAAGATCTATAGTTCTTTGATGATAATGGTAACATCATTAGTCCTTTATATACATGATTTACTGTAGTATAGATTACCAGGAAGCAGGGGCTGAGTGGCACAAATATATGGCTGTCTAAATGGTTCTGTTTGTTAATACATTATCAGAATAATACTTCTGTTACTGTGTTATTAGTATAAGGAGCAGTTTCTTGTCTTAAAACACACATCATTTGGAACATGCTTGACTCTTTAAGTGGCTACTGTGATAAAATAGAGAATGTGGTTTTGGTTGGTTTGTTTCAGTTATTTCTTTTCAGGTCATCATGAAAATTCAACAACGTCATGTTGCAAGATCTGGCATGGATGTTTTTTAATCTAGCAGTCTCTCATCTTCTTTGTACAGTTAAAGGGTGGCTGTATTGCCTTGAAGTGGATAAAATCTCCTGCTTGTTTAGTACAGCAGCAGTCACAAATGCAATTGATTAGCTTTGTCCTTAACAGAATTCCTGCAGTTAATGGAAATTACTCCGAAGAGCTTCAGGGTACAGGAATAATTGGATCATTAAAAAAAAGGGAAGAAAGAAAAAGGCAGATCAGAAGCTACATTTTGGTTAGGTTTTGCTGTTTTCTTTTTGTTACCATCCTGGAATTTCCAAAGCTGATTTTACTGAGAACTGCAAGGGTGAAAAGAAACCTCAGATTTTTTTTCACATTCTCTAGGAGCAACTACCAATTCTTAAACAAAAGGTAAGAAGATTCATAATGAAATACACTGTGTGTTTATCTTCCTCAGATTGTCCTAACTACTAATAAAGAGGTTATTTAAATATTTATGTGATCCATGAAGTGACGGCTAAGAATAATTGATCTCATTAAATTAATAACTATGAAAATGATTTATTGACCTCGTAATTACTGTGATGGTTTTGTCTAAGCTCTCGATGTAAGGCTATGATCCTCTCTAGGCATGTTAATTTTAAAGGAGAAGTAGTACACTTGTTTTGAGTTGTGTGAGCACAGCAGATGTCATCTGACTTCTGTAGAAAGCTTGCAGGAATTGGCCTCGCCTTCTCATTCGCTTCAGCCTGGTAGGTCCCATGGTTATTTGGCAATCCATTGACCTGTGAAATGTCTCCAGCAGGACGCAGTAACTGCAACCAAGAATGCTGTTATTAGGAATTCAGGTTAGAAAAAGTTTCTCATAGGAATGGTTTGTTTTTGGATCAACAGTAGTCACTATATTAAACATGTTGCAGGAACATTTATAAAAACAATTTTGCAGAATCCACATTCACAAAAATCAAGAAGGATAATACGTTAATTTTACTTCGAACATTTTTAAGTACCCTGGAAGCAACCTTTTGTCAATCCAAAGTGGAAATGTCTCTTACCATAGTGGCACCTTAGAGACTAACCAATTTATTTGAGCATAAGCTTTCATGAGCTACAGCTCACTTCATCGGATGCTGTAACTCACAAAAGCTTATGCTCAAATAAATTGTTTAGTCTCTAAGGTGCCACAAGTACTCCTTTTCTTTTTGTGAATACAGACTAACACAGCAGTTCCTCTGAAATCTTACCATAGTGTATGCTTGACTCTAGATAGCTCCTAGAAATCTCTCTCACTGCCCCACTTTCAATCCCAACATAAAAAAGCTAAGTGAAAATATCAATAGCTCTCCTACCAAACAAATGAAAACCCCCGACCTACTTTGTGCAGAGATCTTGGATCACTTGATGCTATTTCTCATTCTAGGGCCTAATTTTGGCCTAACGATTGATGGGCACCCAATAATTAGGGCCTAATAGTTAATGGGAGTCTTTTCTTTTGATTTTCAATGGGGGTTAACTCAAACTGTTAATGAGTTAGGTCTTGTCTTCACTACTGTGCTACATCAGCGCAACTGCCTCAATGCTTGTCTTCACCAGATGCGCTATGTTAATGGGAGAGTGCTCTCCCATCAATGTAATTACTCCACCTCAACAAGAAGCAGAAACTATGTCAATGGGAGAGTGTCCCCTGACTATGTAACATGGTGTAGACATTGCTTTAAGTCGATAGAATTTACGTCGCTCGGGGGGGGGGGGGTTCACACCTCTGAGCGACGTAAAAGTTACATCAATTTAAGCGGTAGTATAGACAAGCCCTTAGTTATAATTAAATTTACGAACAAGACTAGTATGGAGACAGTGAGGTAAGCCAGAGAAGGCTTCAGAAAGTCACAGCAGGTCTGCCTAATACTCACATACATCATTAGAATGCTGACAGGCCATAAGGGATGGAGAGATTACAAAGGGCAGTATTCAAACATTCTAGGGCATGAAGAGATTGGTTCTAAAATTAGTGGATCAGAATTTACTCACAACAGGAAGCACAGTTTGAGGCATCTCTGGTGACAGATGAAAGTCAGCAGTAGCGGTGCAGGTTCTAGAATGCAATGACCCACTCAGATGCAAATCACTGTCTTCCCCAGTAGGCATAAGAGTCTGTGAAGCTACCAGAAAAACACAGCATCAAATCATCAAAAGCTTACCATTCATTTAGTTTCCTACACTCTACATAAAAATCCACTTGGCATTTGGTTAAAGTGATGAAATGTCCTTTTTACAAGTATCTGTTTCTCAGTACCAGCCCTGTTTTGTGTCTCAGGATACTGAGGGCTCTAGGAGTCAAAGTACTGAAACTCAGTAGTGAGGTATATAACCATGAGCATTACTGAACAAGAATGCTCTAGATGTTTATCTTTACAATACTAACTAAACTCCCAAAGTATACACTGGGTTACATTTAAAACCTTGGATGAGTTTCTGGGGACAGGCTCTACTTTAATTGTTCTGAAATCCTGGTCAAGAACCTGGGGGGGGGGGAGGGCGGGGAGAGCAGGAGATATTCCTAGTGCATTACAGACAGCACTGAGAATTTTGTTCCCAAAATGTGTCTCAACCCTACCACAAGTCATTTCCCTATCTTACTCTCAGGGTACATGTGCTTCCTCCTCAAAGTTACATGTTGAATTTTCAGATAATTTCTTCTATTAATTAATTTTTGCCCCTTTATTTTTTCAATAATTAATTCCACCTTTCCAAACTCCCTTTGGAATGAGTTTAGTCTTCCTCTATAGTTTCTACAGACTATGCCAAATGGGAGGGGTGTAGGAGAAGCATCTGCTGGAATAGTTCAAAGAAATTGCCATTCCACCAGTAAGGTCACACATTGGTAAGACCTAAAAAGCACCCACATTTTTTTAAACCTTCACATGTTTGGAGAAGAAAGAGTTAATGCTTCTGGACAATTTTCACTGCACATTTTGTCTGAAGCTAGGAGGCAACACTTACCAGGAAAATAAAAGATCATCAAGTAGTTTAGGAAAATACTTTAACAATTGATTATGGATGCTACTCTACAAAGAATTTTTTTTTTGCTCTAGACAACTGTTTTCCCGCTTATATATTGAAGCAAAAACTGTTGCAAGACATCTATAGTGTATTATGTGTGAGGTCAGAAAACAATTTCCAAACTACCTAAGCTACAAACAATTTTCTTTTAAAATAAAAATGATACTAACCTCGTCTGTGTGCTGTCTTCTCAGGCATTGCAAATTGCGGGGATTGTCTCTGCAAGAACAGACGTTAAAACAATTATTGATCAGAACTGCTTATCTGAATCAAATATGACATCCAAGAGGGCACTGGGTCCAGCACCTTTTTAATATATATGTTATTTTGTATCCCGCTATTTTCAATCATCTTTTTGAAGGTTAATGATAGCATGCCTCGCCCAATGGATTTGCCCTCTTGTATTTGAAAAAAAAAAGTCTTCTCTATTCCTTCCCCTTCTCCCCCTAGGCTTTCTAATAGAACAAAAGTAATCTTTGTCTGCTCCTGTGGTGTCATAACTAGAGGCCTGATCCTGTGACAAATCTTGGACCTTAAAAAGGGAGTCAAAGGGACTCATCCCCTTCCAGGAGCGATCAGCACTTGATAGGAACAGGCTTCAGAGCTGAACCAGAACTAGCCTCCAAGATCCAGACCAACTCTCCTCCCTAAATGCTGGGTAAATTCAGATTCTGACCATTTATGCGGAGATTTTTTTTATTATGGGGTTTTGGAAAGTCATTTCAAGCCTATTTTCTTCAAGTTTGATACACATGACAGTAGGAGATAAAGCAGTATTTATACAAATATAGACCAGATTCCATTGTTCCATCCAAGAGGCCTCAGAAAAAGTTGTCCTAATATGATGGAGGAAGCAGTTCTACTGTTCTGTTCATCATTTAGCCCCTGTCCTACAAATCAAAGTGCTCACTCAGTTGGAGAAGTTCTATACCTGGTTCTTCCTTTCTTTAAAGCTTCAGGAAAATGTATAAAAACCAATGTGTCCCATGAAAGCTGAAAAACGCTGGCCTGCATTGTCTCCGAAGCAGCTCCAGAAAGGAAATGTGATTCATTCACAATTCCTCCAGAGCTCCAGGTTTGTAGGAAGGAGACAGAAGAGGGGGGAGTACACTGCATTGGCTCATTGCCTGCTTCAGCACAGAGGTTGGAGAGGTGGAGCCATGGCTATGCCCACTCCTTACCCACTTGAAGTATTGAATCTGCAGCCTCTAATGTCCCCTCTATGCCTGGACTCAAGAAAAGATCCAGGCGGATCCTGCATAGCTACATGTGTATTTGTGTAGATGGGCAGGGGGTGATGGAGGCCATGTTAAACTGTCTTAGTCCCCTGCACTGCCATGCAAGTCAGTCACAGGTTAGCAATCTGAAGCAAAAGTGAGATATAAACAGTCCCCATTCATGCCAGGTGAATCTGGTGTTCTTACGATTTAAACTATTACTATTTATCCTGAAGGCTCACAGGTTGATTTTCACTGAGATCCAGCCCAGATTAGAACATTATCTCCAACTCTGGTCACATTGTCTCCTTGTCCTCCAGATTCTCCCTCAGAACTTGATCTCAGGAAATTTGGAAAATACACAATAGAGGTGGTGCTCCTGACAGCGTTGTTATGGTCCAGAACAGAATGGAATGGAGTAGGGAGGAATGATACGTAATGATCAGGGCACACTGACATATTCTTTATTGGGAAGGGCTTATTTATTAATTATCCTTATTATTATTATTGTGCAAGGCACGTTACAAGCAGGTAGGAAGAAAAGCTGTTTAGAAGAAATATCTTCCAATCTAAACAAGCCACACTCAAAGAAAGGACAGACAAATTGGATGCAACAATTGACCACGTTATTAATTATTATTATTATTATTAATTTGTATTACCATAGAACCGAGGTAACCCGATCATGGACCAGGATCCCATTGTGCTAGGCGCTGTACAAACACAGAACAAAAAGACAGTCCCTGCCCCAAAAAGCTTATAATCTAAGTAACCATTAGTTACATACTTTCTATTTTTTAAAACCTCATCATGTTTTGTTTTTACGATTTTCAGTTGTCTAATTAATTACTGTTATGGATCCATAAGTCCAGTGCTCTTGAATTGCTCTGGAACAGTCCCTGGCAGGACCCATTCAGTGTGTCAATCCCCTTATAGTGACACTCTCTCACTGAGGTAAGCCCCTTGGCTTCACCGCCTCCTGGGTCCAAACTTCGGAGCCTTCAGCACCCCTGCTTCATGCCATGAGCGCCCTTCTGTAAGTCCACCTGCGTCAGGCACCTGAGGGAGACTTACACACCCAAAGAGAGCAATGCACCCCCAACTTGCTTAAACTGGGGTGACACTCAGTCAGTGTTGTAAAAGAAGGAGGGTTTATTAGATGTCTGGAACCCAGCATAGGAAGTCCTTAGTTAACACAGAAAACAGAAAGTGACAGCAAAGAGCATCTGGGTCAGTCCTGAGCCAAGAGTCCTCTCTGACCCCTCTATAGTCCCAGTCCAGAAGCTTCTCCTCCCCTTCAACAGCCCACAATGAACAACCCTAAGGGACCCCTCCTTACTCCTTTGTTCTTGTTCCTGGAAAACAAGTTCACCTGGCCATCCTCCTTAGCCCTTTGTTCTCCAGCTGGTCACTCCAGCTGGCTTCCTGCAGAGAGTGGGCCATCCATGGTCGTTAGTTGCCAGGTACCAAATGTCCTGACAAATGGAGTGGCCATTGTCTTTTTCAGGCTCTCCATGGGCATGGGCCAGGGCCCAAACCCCAGACAGCCAGGCGTCAGTCACATTTGGATCTCTGCAAAGAGTAAACAATCTTCTCCTCCCCCGCTCCCAACCTAGTTAACTATGCAGCTCATAGGGGAAACTGAGCCACACACAGTATTCATACAAAATATTATGCAGAATTCCCACTCCATCACAATTACCATTACTATAAGGAGTCTTCAGGAGTTTAGGCTTTTTGGAAGAATTCACAATGAGACCATGTTTAGAAATAAACTAGTTATTTCTCCGCCTGCCTAGCTCTTCCAGTTTATATCAGACACAAATGTACATTAAAAGTGCCCCAAACAGCATATGCTCCTCTAACACAACTTACAGAAGTGATGAAAGGTCTCTTGCACAGGCCTTTATTTTTGACCATACTGAAATACATTCTAGGGATGAACAATAGCTGAAATTAATCTTACAGTTTAGTTGTGGCTTCTAAGCAAGTAAATTAATGATAGCAAACAATACTGCACGTGGTGCATTGTTTTGAAGTGAGGAAAGCCTTCCAGCACAATTTAAACTGAAGCTGCCCATCTTATTGGACTTAGACCATGATCCTAGAGGTGTTCCTTCCCTTAAGCTTATTAGTTCAATTTGTATCCTGGCATTAGTGGAAAGCCTGGTATATAAACAAGGATACTGAAGGTTAACTTAGGAAAATACAACCTCATTAGTCAACTGAATTTGCTGTGTCACTGAAAACTGGTTTAAATATATAATGTTGGGCTGTAAAACTAACCAATCGAGAAATTCAGAGTGATGTCTGCTAACCTGTGCTTAACTCACGCTAGATCTTCGGTTGGTGTGAATCAGCAAAACTCCTTGAAGTCACTGGAGAATGCTGATTTAGACCAGTTGAGGATCTAGCCAGCCCTATTAACTCAAAGTCGCATCTTCCAGGTTGTTCGTTTTATATCATATAACCTTAATGTTGTTAACAATTTTTCATATGTAATTTAGTTGAAAGGGTTTTTATTGCAAAGAAAACATTTTTTGTCAAGTAGTCAAAATAAATTCATACTTAATGGAATGGCCACCAGCCAGTTCGGCCCTGATTCAGCACAACACTTAAGCACGTGGTTAACTTTAAGCATTTGAGTAGCCCTATTGATGTGCATAAGCCCCTTGCTGCATTGGGAACTGTACTAACTCAAATGAAGTGGAGAATCAAAACTAGCACTTTAAAAAGAGATCTTAAATAGCTTTTCTTTCTGTTATAATTTTTAAGTCTGATATCTCCTGACACAAAGAGTTCGTGGGCCTCATATAAAGGTTCTTGAAGTCAATGGAAAGATTCCCATAGACTTCGATGGGTTTCCAGGACAGCCCCTATATCATTGCAAAACCTTGAGTTCCAGTTCCCCAACAGGATAAACAAGGTGTGTTCAGGCCTGATGAGTTTCAAGATATCAGACCTTAAAGTGATCTCTGGTTGAGAAATGAATAAAATCAATTATCTATCAGGAATCTTAGGAGGGGGAACTCTGTCTATGTCGGGGTTTTCTATAGCACCCGTTGAAATGTTGAGGATGATTTATGGGGAAAGAAGGAAATGTTTGTGTTAGATTCCTTTCTGACTGATTGTTTAGTTTCAGTTTGAAAGCTGGTCATAGCTTTGGAATGTTAGAAGTAGTTTTTGCTGAGAATAATAGTAACAAAATGTTGGTGAAATGGTCAAAGATGCAAAATAAATTCAATTTACGATAGGGCTGCATTATTTAATAGTTGATTATGAAAATCAAAAATGTATCACATGGATATAAATGTATGCTCTCTGTCTCCTCAGCCACTGCAATCAGTATTTGTTAAATTATGAATTAATTTAGGCTCCAATCCTGCATTGCAATCTACTAAATTGGACCATCTGCACCTGTATAGAGTCCCATTGCTACCGACTGGAAGCCCTTTGGGGCAGACATCCTGTCTTTTATTTGTCTGTTAAGTGGCATGTACATGTATGGTCTATTACAGGATATATATTTTTAATGAGCCTGATCTTGCTGACAGCGAGGCCAATTAAAAAACTCAATCCATTGTTTTTATGCTGGTACCTGTGTTTACTGAACAGGTCTGAACACAACTGGGAAAACAACTTTTAGCACTGTATTTTTTAATATACAGTAACTGATTGGCTTTTCCATGGCACTCATCCACAACAACATCTGAGCACCTCACACATATTAATTAATTTGTTTCCCCAACAGCTACTGGGAGCAGTGAAATGTTACCTCCATTTTAGATGAGGAATTGCGGCACAGAGAAAATAAGTGACTTGTCCAAAGTCATACTCAAAGCATAAGGCAGAACCAGGAACAGAGCCTAGACTAATTCCTCTAGTACAACACCACTCACACACACACACACAATAGCTGAACTATAAAAACCTGCTTGGTTTTGGGGAGAAAGGGAAAGTGAAAACTCCAAAAGATTATGGAACCAAATGACAATCTTATATCACTTTCCTAATTGTAGTAGTTGAACTGAACATAGTTTTGAGTCTTATCAAGGCCCCAATGTACAACTAACATACAATTAACTCACTCTTTTAACAAGATAGAGAAGCAAGTATTATTTCTGGCAGCTCTTAAAATGTAATGGATAAGAAGAACAAACAAACCTCTTCAGTGAAACACAGTGGAACATGCAGAAATACATGAAATACAGTGGAACATGCAGAAAAGAAACACCAGCATAACCTTATGGTCATACTTTGCCATAAGTCATTGTGTTGCCTTTGCCTGAATGGTATTACATTCCAAAACCCCATACATCTTCATGTTGTTTATATATGTCTGAGCACAGCAGGAGCTAAGAAAGAGCTTTAAAAGCATGAAACAAGTAGTTCTTATTGCATATGTGTGTCACTTCTGCTCTTGAGTTTCTTAGTGCAATTTGTCTGCCAAACAAATGAAGTACAGTACTGAGAAAAAAAACGTTCCTTGGTCAATCTCTTAATGGACATTCCTAGCAGAAAGGCCATTTAATAATAAATGCTTTAAAAATGTAATTAAGCTTTGTTGTAAACAGGCATATCTGCACTAACCTGGCATATATCCACTCTGAACCATCTCTGTTTCTGCAGGTAAATAAACTAGCAGTTCAAAACTGAAAAATGAATAAACTGTTTCTAGGAACCAGTCCTGCAATGCTATCCTCAATATAATTCTGGGAGGCTTTGGAGAAAAAAGAAAAGAAGTACTTGTGGCACCTTAGAGACTAACCAATTTATTTGAGCATAAGCTTTCGTGAGCATCCGATGAAGTGAGCTGTAGCTCACGAAAGCTTATGCTCAAATAAATTGGTTAGTCTCTAAGGTGCCACAAGTACTCCTTTTCTTTTTGCGAATACAGACTAACACGGCTGTTACTTTGGAGAAAAAATAAGGCACCATATATTGTTCTTCTTTAATTTTTGGTAATATTATCTACAGGGTAAGCACTCCAATTTTACAAAACATCTCTAACCCAAATGTCTTTATTCCTCCAGCCATATAGTAGGCTTCTGTATGAGGCTACCTAGTGTTATGAACCCTTGCACTTACCAAAAGTATTTGAGAGACAAGGTGCGGAAGGTAATATTTGAGAGATAAGGTGAGGGGAGCTACTGGAGGCATACTATGTTCAGGCTGAGGAGAGCGTGGGAAAAGAGGAAGAAGAGCAAAGGAGGACGGGAAGAATGGAGACTAGATGGGTAATTCTCCACTCTATTAACAACAGTTTTCAACATCAGCAGCTATGTACTTTTTTGGGGGGTATCTTCACCTAGCCGAGCACTAGGTATATTCCATCACAAGCTGAACTTACAGTGATGCCCCACTTCTTATCACAAAATAGAAAAGAAATATCTCTCTCTCTCTCTTTCTATATTTGGAGATGGGTGAAGAAGACATTTCAGGGAATTTGGGCATATTATGTCTATTATGTCTTCATCTGACTGTCACACGGGTGGCAGACGTACCATGTGACCTCCTCCAGAGACGACGGCCCAGTGTACAGCGGGGGTAAATTGGCAGAGCTCCACTGGAGCTACGCTGATTTACCGCAACTGTGAATCTGGACCCATTTATTTTCTGATAAATTATACTTTGGGCCCCCCACCACTGATTTAATAAAAGTCAGTAAAATTTAAGAATACACATTTCACCATCTGGCTACATACATTTTATACAGAGCGCCGGTATTGACTGGTGCAACTGGGAATTTGTATGCATTTACCTCTCGATTGCGAACAGATGTAAAGGTGGTAGTGTGCTCTGCTAGCGCCATGTCGTTCACTAAATTCTTTGCCTCTTCACTGAAAATGGAATCCATAATTCCATGCCTGTGAAATTCCCTGACCAGCTGGGTAATCAAGCTGTTTCTTTCATGGCATTTCCGGACAAGGCAAGATAGCTTAGCCTATGTAGCATAACAACAAACAAATAGACATCAGTTCCCTAGTGTGTTTATATTTTTGGTCTAATCTGACTAAGCAGATTTTGATATCATGGTTTAAGACATAGCTCATATTCCTATATTTCTGAGCCATCAAGCTCCGCAGCATTACAACCACAAAAAACACATGCAGATAACTAGTAATGGATAGTTCAGTTCTCTGTGTACTAGTTCCCTCTGGTGGCAAGGTGAACAGCAATAGTAGCGATGATATCAGCTTCCCCTCCTAACCCCGGGCCTGCAGTCCAATTAAAGTCAAATGGCTAACATTCACGAGGGTCTCACTGGAAGCAGGCATACAACACACTACAGAAAGAGTGTGGCTAAGCATACTGTTATTAAGAATAACCAAATTAAACTTCAGAGTGATAGCGTGTTAGTCTGTATCAGCAAAAAGAACGAGGAGTACTTGTGGCACCTTAGAGACTAACAAATTTTTTTGAGCATAAACTTTCATGGGCATGCATCTGATGAAGTGGGTTTAGCCCACGAAAGCTTATGCCCAAATAAATTTGTTAGTCTCTAAGGTGCCACAAGCATTCCTCGTTCTTTTTGCAAATTAAGCTTGCTTTGGAACCAATGAAAAAGGTCAGAGATGCTGCAACAGTTTCAGCAAAATACACTACCTTGAGTGGAGCTACTGTCAGGTCAGCTTCAGTCTTTCTTTTCTGAAGTTCCTCAGTCTAAAACAATGAAAAACATTTTGTACTCAGTTATTCAAGATTCCCTTTACAATGTTTTGGTAGTTTAAGGAGCTGCTTCATCACTGGCCACCTCAGGATACTTAATCACAGCAACACCACATTAAAAGCCTTATTCTGGTATCCATCATTATGTATGCATCTCCTCCTGTACCCTATGAATCTTTTATACAGCTTCTCCAGAGAGTAGTTTCCCCTTTCCTCATCTATAACGTGTGGTAACAGGAGGAATTTTCTCCATGAGCATTTGATGACAGATTTCAAATGTGTGCATAGATCATGTGTGCATGGATCTTGGCACAACTTTGGATAGACTTTGCTATGTTTTGTAGTCTTGTACAGCATCTATATATTACAGTGATGGGAATTTTAGAAATCCAGATATTGGAGAGAGGAGAGCAAGATTCCCCAGAGAAGAAATTTGGATGCCATTTTGCCTGCAGTTAGACTACAGGAATTATAATGGAGCTTGGCAGCAGCCTTAACCATGGAAAGACTATCATCTTTCCATGTCAGGCACTCAGACATTTTACCACCATCTTTTCACTCCCTAGCCATGATCAGCTTTATGTGGCTGCACTGTACACACCATTTTATTGCCCTTATAACCATTCCTTAGAAAGAAGAATATTTTGGTCCTTTCATGTCAGAAGAATAAAGTGGAATCAGCAAGCTAAGCCCATGTTAGTCCACTCAGTTAAGCACGTAAAAGCCAGCTTTATTATACCTTTTCACACAGCTGAGCCTGAAGGCATTCCACTTGGTTTTGCAAGTCTTGAAACTGACTTTGTAATACAGTCTGGTCCCTTAGTTGGGATTTCAAGGTCAGCACTTGCTGTTCTAATCCCTTATTGGCTATCCTATCCTCTTTCAGTTCTTGGACTTCCTTCTGTGTGTATTCAAGAAAACAAATATACATATATTTTTAAGCTTGATGTATAAACTCATACAACTATTCTTAGTAGAGAATGCGAAAAGAATACCCAAAATCTGTCAATCAAAATGTGCACTTACCTCATATGTCAAAATTATTTTTTTAACCTTTAAAGCCAGTGTAGGTGTATAACTTAAAGTATCATAAATATATTAGCGTCTGTCAAACAAGAATGCTAAAGCACCTTTGGAACAATGAGTTCACAACACCCTTGTGAGATGGCTATAATAAGAATACCTATTTCACATATGGGAAAACCGAGGCACAGACAGGTTAAATGACTTATCCAAGGTCACAAAACAAGTAAGTGCCAAACAAGAACAGTCCAGGAGTGCCCCACCCACTGCTACTACCTCTGTATAACACATCCCTTCTTTCCCACACACATTCATTTCAAACAGCAGTATTCTCTCTCACACATCTATTTTATTCTCTGAAAACCATTAAAATTAACTGAGCATCTAACATGTTATTTAATTTAAAAAGGTAATATAAGAGGTTATGGAATGTGGAGGAAGACAAACTTTTGAATGTAACTCCTGCTCTTTTGATTTGTTCTGTTTCATACATTTAAACTGAAAGGATTTGTGAGGACTTTAAATTCACAGTCTGAACCAATATATCAACTCCAAGATCTATCACCAAGAAATTATGTAGAATATACAGACTCAGAATGGGGGTGCATAAGAAAAATATATATGGTCTTACGACCTTATATACACAAAAGTCTGGAATTATTAATTAGATGCATGTAGTACTGTTCAATTTTCCCACACTGTGTTGTAAAGTAAATGTTTACATTGATTAAACTTTAAAACCTTAATTTAAAAACTCGAGTTAAATCCATCAAAACACCATTTTAAAATTACAGTATTTTTGTGACTACACATGCAGGAATGTAGTTTAATTTCAGCAGCTATTTATAACTATATAATTGGTAGAAGAACTGTTATTCATCTATGGTCTGTAGCAGATATATATATATATATAAAACACTATATATATATATATATATATATATATATATATATATATATATATATATATATATATATATGGTGTTTTTCTTAATTCTGTGACCAACATCCTGAATTTTACATCACTGGGCACTTTACCATATCAGACCATAGTACAGAGAAGGCTCTGTTTCATAGGAAACAATAGTAAACTGGAGTGATCGTCATGCTACCCTGATAAAACACCTCCAACATAGATAAAATTTGAGGTTTGTCATGAAACTCACCCCTTCTCACTGGAATTTTAATGAGTGACCATGTGTTGTCTCTCTAATTTTTAGCTCCCTCTTGTGTTTCGAAAACAGAACACAAGTGTCTATTAGACTTATGCAGCCAGGCTGATTAGGGTCGAGACATCAGGATCTGATGGTATCTACGGGTAACAACACCCAAAGGTACGGAGATAAGACGTGGTTTTTCTATGTTACTGAAATCCTCCACCTTTTTATTCCTTAAGTAAATGCCAGTGATTGCGGAGGATGTAATTGCTGATTGAACTGAGGAGGTTTAATTCAGTGTCATAAAATATGATTCTCTTTGCATTATGTTTAGTTTAAAGACACTGACTCTTTCTGTGCATTTGCTGACCAACTCTGAAACCAGAAGAACTTCCAGAGCAAATATAGTACTGTTCGTAGATTTTTAAGGACAGAAAGGACAATTTATGATCTGAATAACCTCCTGAATAACAAAAGCCATTGAAATCACCTGTTTTGGGGTCAGATTTTCATAACCGCTCAACTCCCATTTAAACCCCCAAATAAGGCCAGATTTTCAAAACTCCCAAAAGGGCTCAGCAGCCAGCATCTCCCACTGTGAAACTTATGGCCAGATTTTCAAAATACTCAACATGCTGAAGTTTTAAAAAAGATACTGGGCACATAATTAGTTCTCTAAATGAGAGCTCTTCTGAAATAAGTGGCCCTGATTATGAATGCTGAGCAATTCTGAAAAACTGTCTCAAGATTGGAGACGGAGCATGTCTAGTGGTTAGAGCACAGGACTTGGAGTCAGAAGTTTTACGTGGGCTCTGCCACTGATTTGCTATAGGACCTTGAACTTATCCTCTCAGTGCCTCATTTCCTCCCCTATAAAATGATTACCTCCTGTACGGCAGCTCAGAGCCCCATATCAACCTACTGCATGGTGGTGCAGAAAGTCTTGCATCTGCACTCAGCACCCCGGTTAATACCATGACATGTGCAGACTCTGAGGTAAGTGATAGACTTCAGCCAGTGCTTCCCATAAGCAACAAATACTCGCTTAAGAGCAAGCTGACAAGCAATCCTAGCTCTATGTGTGGGATATCTTATCTTTCTCATCTAGACCACTAACCACCCTTGCATCCTCTCTCAAGCTCTGCAGAGATGATACAGTCTGTGATAAAGTCTGTGAGGTAGGGTAGCTTAGCACTGAAATTAAGCTATCGTGATTTACAAATTGACTATGTTAATATCTTCCTGGGGTGAAGTGCAATATTTTGTTTATGATGGCAACCAGACATGTCAAACCCACAAAAAAGAAAACAACTCAGAAATTGGGCTTGTTTTTGGCTTAATTGGCTTGTGAGTTGCTTGTTGGCTAGTTTTTGGCTTGTGGCTTTTTTTTTTTGCTCAGCTCCTGGAAAGCAGGGGTAAGGGGAGGCAAGCAGAGCAAAGGAGGGAGAGAGTCAGGGGTGCACAGCGGGCCCACCACAGTCCCAGACTGCATGCTGGGGGGATCTAGTTACATAGTGTTGGGGTTCTTAGGGATTGGCTTGTTTTGGCCTTGGTTTGAAATGGGATTAGCTTGATTTTTGGCTTATTGTGAAAGCCGGGGTGCTTATTTGCCAGGTGAAAGTTGGCAACTGTGGTGGCAACTTACTATAAATACAGCTGCAATCCTCAGCCCAACCAGTTACAATCAGGAGGGGAAACATGCCCAGAAAAGCAGCTCATGTTAATCACCATGCCAAAACTCTTAAATTTGTTTGTTTGTTTTAATTAAGAGAATGACTTTCTACCAAGCAAAATTCAGATCATTTCCTTCACATTGAACAAAAAGCCACTTTTATTTAGAGCTTCATGGCTGTAAAAAGGTTTCTTGTAAAACGGAAAATTCATACGGAAGCAAATTGAGAATAGAACATTTATTAAAATAAATTCACTCCGTATCTCAGCAATAGAGCCTTGGCTATTGTTAGGATAGTTTGTGTATAATAAGCGCTTTTCTCCCTTTCAGTTCAGCTTCCCCTATTGTTTAATCCTGACAGTGAAGTCAATATCCTGTGTTTAAGGCATCACAAACTCTTGCCATGGAAATAATTGCAGTGTCACATACTCATGAGGGGGCAAACTCTGCCTTCAGATGTATGTCTGTAGCCCCTTTGATCTCAGTGGGAGCTGAGTGTGTACATCCAAGAACAGAATTTGATCCCACGACCTGTTTGAATTGGACAAAGAGAGTGACTCTGAAAGGGGATGGGGAAGCTATTGCATAAGTGAACATCAGTAATTAGCAAACACTAAAAAAATTTATGAAAGCAGGACAAGATCAGCAATGAAGATATTTATGGTTTGGTTTCAGCAACTTCTCAGGCATTAACATATTATTAGGAGGGAAGACCAACAAATTACATAGAGTGTTTACTAAGGAATGCTGCTACAGGGCTGGCAATCACATGATCGACAAAAGTGTCAGTGGCAAGATAATATTGCCAATGACGGACAAAGACTGAACATCCAGAAAGGCTGTCTTAAGGACCTAGCTAGAGATGGATCTGGGTAGCACTCAATCTGCAAGGAGGTTATGTCTCTTTGGGATTTGCCTTGATGGTGATATTTATTTGAATGAGTTCTTCAGTACAAATGTTTATTTAAAACTTTGTCCATCGCGCTTGTTGCAATGCTGTCTGAACACCTCATGAACATTCAATTAACTTACCTTCATGACACTCCTGTGAAGTATGCCAATATTACTTGAAGGGCTGGTTTAAAATTTTCCATCCAAACTGGTTTTGGATAGAAAATTGGATTTTCATCTAAATGAAAGTTTTCAAGAAACAACTCTGCTTTTTTCAAAGTTTTTGATCTTTCATCAAAAAAACAACCCCCTGAAAACCAAATAGGTTTTGGTTTAAGGACAAAACCCAAAATATTTAGATTCAGATATGCCACGTGCCTCATGGGAGATGAAGTTCAGTTACCTCGTGTCCCTGTTCTCTTCTATGGGCTGGGCTCCCCTAGACTACATCTCCCACAAGTCCAGTGAGACAAAGAGGAGAGATTGTGGTGTATCATGGGAGATGTAGACCTACCAGGGAGATGGCTTATAGAGGAAAGTGGGAGCATGACCAGCTCTAATTACTATCACATCTCACCATTGAGGAATTGAGGCACAGCGAGATTAAGTGCCTTGCCCAAGGTAAACAGGAACCTGAGGCAGAGCCAGGAAATAGAATCCACATATTCTGAGTTCCAGTTTAGTTCCTCAACCTCTTATCAAGTCCATGTATAAATCTGTTTTTATATTTATTTTGCTTGAATTTTCATTTACTTTTATTATATAATTTCTGCTGTTTACTTTTTTAACTATATAATTAAACATACTGGTCAATGGAGTTACTCAGGATTTATGCTGGTTGAACTGAGAGCAGAATTTGGTCCAGCTGTTCCTATCATTCCTTTTAGGATTGTGTCTCAGCTTCCCTGAACTGGTATTTATTAACCCCAAAGTTGAATATATAGATGTAAAGGATTCCATAAAGCCTAGCTGGCACCATGGCAAAACTCCCATTGACTTCAGCGGGGCCAGGATTTCACCTAATGTGTCCAAATAACGAAACTGATCCTGAGAGATGCAGAGCATCCATATCTCAGTGGGATTTGTGGGTACTCAGCACTTCCAAGATCAAGCCAAAAAACGATAGTAATATGCCAACAGCAGCAGCACTGAAATACCCCTATGGAATGAGAAGACATCAGCCAGGCAAATAACCCTGGTACATCACAGTGCATAATGGTGAGGAAAGGGGAAACTTTAGCCAAGGATAGCACGGTGATCCCTGTTATAAAAAATTATGTGAATTCTTTACATAATGACAGGTTTCAGAGGAACAGCCGTGTTAGTCTGTATTCGCAAAAAGAAAAGGAGTACTTGTGGCACCTTAGAGACTAACCAATTTATTTGAGCATGAGCTTTCGTGAGCTACAGCTCACTTCATCAGATGTTTACCGTGGAAACTGCAGCAGACTTTATATACACACAGAGAATATGAAACAATACCTCCTCCCACCCCACTGTCCTGCTGGTAATAGCTTATCTAAAGTGATCAACAGGTGGGCCATTTCCAGCACAAATCCAGGTTTTCTCACCCTCCACCCCCCACACAAATTCACTCTCCTGCTGGTGCTAGCCCATCCAAAGTGACAACTCTTTACATAATCAAGTAGGGCTATTTCCTGCATAGATCAAGGTTTTCTCACATCTCCCCCACCCCCATACACACACAAACTCACTCTCCTGCTGGTAATAGCTCATCTAAACTGACCACTCTCCAAGTTTAAATCCAAGTTAAACCAGAACATCTGGGGGGGGGGGGGTAGGAAAAAACAAGAAGAAACAGGCTACCTTGCATAATGACTTAGCCACTCCCAGTCTCTATTTAAGCCTAAATTAATAGTATCCAATTTGCAAATGAATTCCAATTCAGCAGTTTCTCGCTGGAGTCTGGATTTGAAGTTTTTTTGTTTTAAGATAGCGACCTTCATGTCTGTGATTGCGTGACCAGAGAGATTGAAGTGTTCTCCGACTGGTTTATGAATGTTATAATTCTTGACATCTGATTTGTGTCCATTTATTCTTTTACGTAAAAGAATAAATGGACACAAATCAGATGTCAAGAATTATAACATTCATAAACCAGTCGGAGAACACTTCAATCTCTCTGGTCACGCAATCACAGACATGAAGGTCGCTATCTTAAAACAAAAAAACTTCAAATCCAGACTCCAGCGAGAAACTGCTGAATTGGAATTCATTTGCAAATTGGATACTATTAATTTAGGCTTAAATAGAGACTGGGAGTGGCTAAGTCATTATGCAAGGTAGCCTGTTTCTTCTTGTTTTTTCCTACCCCCCCCCCCCAGATGTTCTGGTTTAACTTGGATTTAAACTTGGAGAGTGGTCAGTTTAGATGAGCTATTACCAGCAGGAGAGTGAGTTTGTGTGTGTATGGGGGTGGGGGAGATGTGAGAAAACCTTGATCTATGCAGGAAATAGCCCTACTTGATTATGTAAAGAGTTGTCACTTTGGATGGGCTAGCACCAGCAGGAGAGTGAATTTGTGTGGGGGGGTGGAGGGTGAGAAAACCTGGATTTGTGCTGGAAATGGCCCACCTGTTGATCACTTTAGATAAGCTATTACCAGCAGGACAGTGGGGTGGGAGGAGGTATTGTTTCATATTCTCTGTGTGTATATAAAGTCTGCTGCAGTTTCCACGGTAAACATCTGATGAAGTGAGCTGTAGCTCACGAAAGCTCATGCTCAAATAAATTGGTTAGTCTCTAAGGTGCCACAAGTACTCCTTTTCTTTTTGTGAATTCTTTAGTATTCCTGCAGAGCAAAAGGACTTTGCTTTTAAAGTTGTCATCTACAGTATGCACAGTAAACTGCTCAATAGTCAGTTTATCTATTTTAGAAAGGTTGAATCATCCCTGCCTGGATTTGAACCTCTGCTTTCTGTAAATCTAGGTGTTTCAGGCTTGTTTCAAAATCTGTTATTCTGAACACTAACCCATTTTCTGCATCCAAATCGTCTTCTCCCAAGGAGTACCTTTTCCCTCCATTCTACTTACACACATACCATTAACTGGCAGCACTGCTTTCTAAGCCTTTCCCCGCCATCTGCTTGTTTAAGTGGGTGTAATTCAGAGAGTGCCTGTGTCAACTGAGTTCTGACCTCTTCATATCTTGCTTCTACAAAGCCAAGTTCTCGGTACCACTTCTGAGCCTACCAGAGAAAAGGAATGAAAAAATAAAATTACAGATAGGAGTTAATATCACTTCCCAATATGTACTTACAACCTACGGGCTGGATTCTGATCTTGCAGACACCAGCTTTACACTGGGTGTAACTTTACTGAATTAAATGGAATTAGACCATGTAAAGCTGGCCCCACGACCAAAACACGACCAAAACAGAACCAGGCCCTTGGAATAAATCCTAAAAGAAAATTATCCATGTGAAATACATGCACTTGAAAACTCCGAGTGAAGCTCAATAAATGATATATGATATTTCAAAGTATCTTAAGTGAAAATCAGACTAAAAATAGGATTTTATTAGCAGGAAAAAATAATAAAATGTTGCATTTAAAACACTGGGAATGGGGAACACAAATGGAAAAAATCATCTGTCTGTTTTTGCATTATTTCCATGATGCATTATCATAGATTCCACTATTAATTGTAATTTTGAAAATGTAATTGCACGACAGCATGCAATTAAACATCTGACTATTCTGCTACGCCCTTACATGTAAGACCTCAAGTCTTCTTCCTTCTGACTGTTTGAAAACAAAGGCTACACCTTCTTCTAATTTAACAAAAGAAGTTTTTTGTACTTTTAACATTTTCTTTTATTTATAAAAGGACCAAAGTTGGTCAGATAAAGAGCCAATTACTGGGACAGTCCCTTCACATGCAATCTAAAAGTTATTGGTCATCATCTGAACAGACAAATGCATGAACAGCATCACTCATTCAAAGACATAAAAAAAACGCCACTTCTTCTATTCCTGAGAGAAATTAATTTATCTTTAAAACAATTTTTTTAAATAAATCTTTCATCAAACTATCCATACATAAATTTGCCACTGTGCAATCTTATTACTGTTACCCTTTTCCTTGCTCACCATGTCTACTTGTTACTATGAGTTATTGTACCATGTCTACAATTATTTTTGCCAACACCTGTTTTGCAGCATCTAGGAAATGTGAACTTGCCATCAAGCTTTGGAGGAATATATTCCCATTTAGATAATGGACAATGTGGTTTGTTTTTGCAACAGAAAAAGATGAGGAACACTGAAGTTGGTCTGTTATGAAAGGCACAACTCAAGAAGAAGTTTCCTTTGCTTGGGGTGATCTTTGGCATTGTGATTCAATTAGATGGCTGCACACAACAAAATGTGGACTTCCAAAGGCAAGGGTACTCATTCAGTGAAGATATTCTGTAATACGGAACTTCATGGTTACTGTGTGGCCTGTGAGTGGATACTGCAATTTGTTTCTCTTTATCCCTCGGTAAAGGAAATGGCTTTATGTGTGCCTCAGGTTTTTCATGCTTCTGTGTCTTGAACAAACCCTTCTCATTTGAAAACTGGAAACTTTGCATTTAGCACTGTCTAAATCATCAGAGTTTCTAAGTTACCACAACCATTCATATTTATCTTTCCTAATGGGGGGAAAGCCGTTCTGCCCAGAATCTAGATGACAGATTCTTTGTGCAAGGGTCTCCTTATTAAGCACTTTCTGTTGTGACTCTGATAAGGCAATGCAACTGTAATTCAAATTCTGACCAGTAATGAATGACTGTGCAAGTCATCACTTAACTGTGGGCATCAAAGAGACACAGGTTGGTTCTCTAGATCAGAGACTTTTTCCTTTTGTAATTCTTTGGAACACTGGTGGAAACAAGAAAAGTACAAGAAGAAAACAAGAAACGGATTTGCTTCACATAAATATATCAAATGGGAGATTACCTCTTTTTTGGCCTTTTCTAATTCCCCTTGTTGTACTTTTAGTTCTTCCTTTGACCTTTCCAGTTGTTCTTGCATTGCACTGTAGCTTTCAGATGTGCTGCCCTGGATAAAGGGCAGAAAAAGAAACAATTCCCTTCACACATTTAAAGTAACACACAACTTCTTAAAGGTGTGTGTGAATTATTTTCAGCTCTTGAAAGGAGGGCTTTAATTTAGGAAGTGTAAGAGTAAACTAGGTATGGTATTTCCATCTCTGTGTACTGTGGGTCAGATCAACAGCACAAAGGAGACATAAAATTGCCTTAAGGAATCAGCAGAGGATTCTCCTAGTATAGGGGAATCTTCAACTAGCGTACATCAGCTGCTCTTGGCTCCTTGATACAATGGAAGCCAGGAGCCAAGCTGAGGTGGGCAGGGGTTGTATCGAGGACAGGAATCTACTTGCTTCACTATTGCCCTCTTCTCCCCTGGTACGCTAAGCACTGCTCTGTTGCAAGTAGGGATTTAGCCCTGTATCTTTCCCAGTATCTCAGGGCAAACTCAACATTTTTTGGATTCCCTTTTTAGAGAGATACAGACACTTCTTGCAAAAATATCTGAGAACATTTTGGACCTGATTCACCAGTACATTTATTCCTGTTTTATGGGGTAAACCTGGGCCAATGTGGAGGAATAATTCTGCTGATTTATAGTTTCAAGGCAGGGGTTTTTTTTTCTTATTTTTTCATTTAAATTACTAAGAATATTTGCATGAAAATAAGATCTTGGAGATAAATCTGCTCCTGCTGATCATCCTCAGCGGCAGTCAAATTCTGTGTTTATGACATTACAATACTCTCCTCAGAAATTAATTGTGATGTTGGTGAGGTTTATTAATTTAGGGGGAGAAAAAGCAGGAGCAGAAGAACCATTAAGAAACAAAGATCCTGTGTTCAGGCAAATATCCCTAGCAATCAAAACAATGAAGAGCAACAGACAATTTTTTTTCTAAATGTGAACATTTTCCACAGTTTCCCATAAGACATCACTGCTAGGGGGCCCTAAAGATTTCATTTCTATGGAATATGTACATGGACAGTAGAACTAGGAGGGAACTGGATTTCCATTGAAAAATGGAACAAAGCCAAAAAATTTCAAAATTTCCTGTGAAACAAAATTCTGAAAACAAATTTCAGCTTGATCTAAATACTTAGTTGTGATAGAACTGAAATGTCTCATTATGAATTTCAAGTTTTAAAAGGTCAAAATCATTGTTTTCTATATAATATTTTTAGTTTGAAAAAGTCATTTCAAAAAATAAAAAATCAAAATATTCTGTTCTGACAATGTCAAAACAGGACATTTTGACATTGAAATGCTTCATTTGGTCAAAAATTGATGTTTTTAAAAAATCATTTGTTTCAGCTAAAATTGTCCAACCAACTCTAGTGTAAATAAAGTGGCTTTCTACACTAGCCATTCTGACATTTGTGAAAAGAATGTATTTTTATCATAAAAATTGAAAACTGCTCCATTTGGGTTCATTTTACCTTTGAGGACTCTTGTAGCAGTTCCATATTCTCCAGCACTTTAACACAACATTGAGAAAAACTGTTGCTTGATATTTTATCTTCTGTTTCAAAGGTTAACTTTGCCACCTCTGGTCTCTCAGAAGTCTTTTGGAGCACCCTGGAGATCGCAATGTTTTGATCACCCAAAAATGCACTTATCCCAGCATTACTAAAATGGAATTTAGAAGTCTCAGTGTTTTTAGAACATCCCACTTGACAATATCCTTTAATGCTACCAATTTCCTCTTCTGAACAGGTGTCTTTATCTTTCCTAGTGAGATAGTTTAAGGGTTCTATAACTTGAATTCCTTTTTCTTTAGTATGTGTTTTACCAGAAGCCACCTCTGTTTCCTTTTCTTGCATTCTATGTGGTACACTCTTATTTTCTTGCTTCAATCTTAGCAACTTTCCCTCTATTCCTGAAATTTTATCTTTTATCGGGTCTTCATAGCTGATTCCAAGAGCAGACATTATTTCCTTCAATTCATTGTTTTCTTGAAGAATGTTCTCAATTACTTTCTGAGATTCTAGAAGCTGTTCAGAACTTTTCCTACGGACTCCATTCATATCATTTTTCAGTATACGTTTTTCCTCTTGTAGATCAGAAATTGTTTGGTAGCATTTGGTTTTGCACTCATTCAATTCAGAAATCATTGTCATGTGTTTGTCTTGTTCACATTTTAGCTCACTCAAACTTCCCAACAAAGTTTCTTTGTCTCCTTCTAGTTGAGATATTATCTGTAAATTTCTCTCTCTCTCTTCTTCCAATTCATGAGTTTTTTTAATGTATTTTTCTTTGTCTTGTAATAGTTTAGCTATTTCTCTGAAAAAGCTATTTCTCTCCTCTTTGAGACCAGAAAGCAGCTGGAAATATTTAATCTTCTTTTCATCAAGAGCTACAATTTTCTTGAGAAATTTATTTGATTCCATCACTGGTATTTCCTTTTCAGAATTTCTATCTTCCTTTTTAACCAGGTGAGACACATTCTTGGAAAGGATTTCAGTCTCACCCAAGAGAACACAAATCGCTCCTGGACACTTAAAATTCTTCTCTTTTGAAACACTGTTATAACATTTACCATATATTTCCTCCTTGGCTAATAACTTTTGGGAAGAGTCAACATCAGTTTCATGTGCTGCTAATATGTGTTGAGAATATGCATCTATCTCCTCTTCTAGTGCACACATCTTCTGATAATATCTATCATTCTCTTCCTGTAACATGAGGAGTTTCTGTGAGTAACTCCCATTCTCTTTCATCAGTGCAGATATTCTTTGAGAATATATATCCATGAGCTTCTCTAACTTATCTGTTTTCAGGGTATATCCATTGTTTTCTTCTGCTGCAGATAGATAATGAACATGTTCAAAATATTCTTCCTCTTGTGCTAACCCTTCATTTAAGTATATATTTCTCTCTTGTGCAGGAGACAATATATTCAGTGGATACATATATTTATCTTCCTTCAGTGCAGACAGTTTTTGAGAGCATTTACTATATTCCTCTATCTGATCAGTCATTTGTTTGCATGATGACTTATCCTCATCTTCTCGTTCAGACAGTTTCAAACATTGCTCTCTCTTTTCTTTCAGTCCAACACTTTTTTGTCGACACACTTTTATTTGGTCAGTTAGATTCTCGGGTTGTTTACCCTTCTCTTCTGTCACAAAAATGTTCTTTTCTAGGCATCTTCTGTTTACTTCATCAAAGGTAGAGATTGCTAAATGTTTTCCATGTTCATCCTTAAATTCAGAGTTTTCTTGAGGATATCCCTCTAATTCCTTGTGTAGGACAGACATGTTTTGGTCACCTGGAATGCTTGCTGCATGAAATTTTGGTTCTGCTTCTTGCTCCCCAGTTTCATCATGTGCAATTTTAATTAAAACTTTGGTGGCTTTTTCAGAAATGCAAGTTATTGTTCTGATTTGTGCTTTCTCATCCCTTTTTTCTTCTCGCTGAGATTTCTCTGGACCATTTCTACTTTGATTTTTTTCATCATTTATTTCTTTATTCGGGTTTTTCTTTTCATCTGTGCTTTTCTGTATAGCTTTTTTATTTTGCAAACATTTTTCCATATAATGTTTTTCAACCTGGAGTTTGAAAATTTCAGTCTCAGTGTTCGCAATCTTTTCCTTTAGAGCTTCAGAATCTTTACCAGAAGAAACTCCTTTCACAACATGCAAGACACCATTAGAAAGACAAAAGTTATTGTGATATGTCTGGTTGTAATTCAAATTCAGCATTTTGTTCACTGGGAAAACAGATGCTGATCTGACACCTAGGACCCTGGGGATTTCAGGTTCTAGCAAGACAAACTGAGGATCAATCAAAGTGGCAACCTTGAAGACAGGCAAAGGATTAGCTGGTTGATTTATAGCTTGTTCCTTTAAGAGAAAGAAATATCCTTTTTCTTTGGTCCCCTTACTTCTCCCATCATTGCTTAGCCTCTCAGAGCAAAATAAGATTAGCTGTCTGTTTTTAAGCTGGCTTGGAGTACATCCAAACAACGGAGAAGCACCATCTGATCTTTGTGTGCCAAGTATGACCTGGTAATAAAGAAAAGAGAATGTCTCAAATTGAAAAACATAAGCTATAAGGAAAGTTGCCATGTTGCTATTTCATATATACTTGCCTTTTGACTTGACCATCTTGAAACATTTTATTATATATATATATTGTTAGCCAATATCATATAACCTATGAATGTCTTATACTCATGCTCATCTTCCTTGTGGAAATCTACTAGTAGTTAAAGTGTGGAAACCTCTGTTCTTTGTATGTGTTATGACAAAGCTCTGTCCTTGCCTCCGTGGGTCCCACGTTTCCTGGCGGATTTCACTAGCCTCAGAGGCTCACTGTGACCCTCTATATAACCCTTCTCTCTCTAGAGACAAGGGTCACAGTCTATTGAGCCATATTCATCATAAGCTAGCAAGGGAGGTGAGGAGAAGCTACCCTTCCTGCACAGTCTCTGTTGTCTCCCAGTCTCAGTGATTAATCAGGAAGCAAAAGGGTGGCGGGAGGAGAGCCCAGGCCCACCCTCTACTCCGGGCTCCAGCCCAGGGACCCGAATAGTATCAGCTATGGTAGAAACATGACATGTACAATTCCCTGGGCTACTTCCCCCACAGCAGCCCTCACTTCCTCAAGCTCCACTTCACCCTTACCTCATGGCCTCCTTCCTTGTGCCTGATATGGTGTGTACTGCTCAGTCTCTCCAACAGCGCAACTTCCTCCCACAGCTCCTGACATCCGCGCCCACCTGACTAACTGGGATGCTTTTAACTAGTTTCAGCCAGCCCCTGATTGCTTCAGGTGTCCCAATCAACCTAGCGTTCTCTCTGCCTTCTGGAAAGTTCTTAATTGGCCCCAGGTGTCTTAATTGACCTGGAGAAGCTGCCATTTCACTTATCCTGGTACCAGGGATTTGTTTAGCCTGGAGCGAATATATCTATCTCCCACTCCTTTCTATAGCCATCAGGCCTTGCCCCGTCACATATTCCCCCCCCCCCGCCCACCCCCACTCAACACCATAGAGTTGGGCAACTTGGGACACCAGGCAGTATGCTCGACAGACCATCAGCGTTGCCATGGTGGCATCCAGCCCTGTGCAGTATGCGGAACTGGTAAAGAATGAAAGTTGACATCCTCGTGAAGCTGCTGGGTGGCCAATGTGATATAAGTTTGTTGTCACACGGGTGAAATCCTGACTCCACTGAAGTCAATAGCAAAACTTCCATTGCCTTCAAAGAGGCCAGAATTTCAGCACGAGCATCTGGATCACATATGTTACCACAACTGGCAAAAATTGATATCCTTGTCTGCAGACTCAGTAAAGACAAGGAGTTGAACCTCTAAGGGATTCCCGCCAAGTCTGGAGATGTCTGTTCATGTTCTATGGAGAGTGGACTTCAGAAAGCCTTTTTCTTCTGCCTCCAGAGCTATCAATGTGACACTTTTCATCAGCACAAAACTCACAAACACAAACCTCACATGAAACCTGCACTAAAAAGGTACTGCATAGTCACTGACCCATCAAGGCAAGAGTCTTCTAACAATAGTGGAAATAATACTAATTACATTTGTAAATTGTTTTTCTTTAAAGAAGTCCTTGAATAAAACCCATGGGGATAGTATTATAGGGAAGGCCAACCCTTCCCATTATAAGACCCTGTTTTCAGTTGCTTCATTGCAAAACTTTGTTTAGACTGAAATTTTCTACGCTGGGTATCTGCCTCAGGCTGAATTATTCTTGAAAGTTCAACCAAAACAGTTCCACCATTTTTGAGAATTTGGCAAGGGAAAAATACATTGCTTTTCCACTAAAAACCTTTTCTTTGAGAAGCTCTAGTGTCCCCATGCTTTGGAGCAGGGACTTGAAAGTGCACGAATGGATGCTCTTTGTGTCAGGGATGTATCTTTTGCTGTCCCCGTGAAAAACTACCCACATTTGGCTAAGTTATAAGTCTTTAAAAAATTTCAGTTTGCCCATGGTCAGGACAACCTCCAAAGTCAGGAGGCAGAGTTTAAGGCCAGAAGGGACCACTGGATCACCAAGTCTGACCTCCTGTGTATCATAGGTTTCAGAGTAACAGCCATGTTAGTCTGTATTCGGAAAAAGAAAAGGAGTACTTGTGGCACCTTGGAGACTAACCAATTTATTTGAGCATAAGCTTTCGTGAGCTACAGCTCACTTCACCGATGAAGTGAGCTGTAGCTCACGAAAGCTTATGCTCAAATAAATCGGTTAGTCTCTAAGGTGCCACAAGTACTACTTTTCTTTCTGTGTATCATAGGCCACCAACATCACCCAGCACCCACACAATAAATCCAGCAACTGAAATTTGACCAACGTATTTCAGACCACAGGAGAAACCTTTTCTGCAACTGTTTCAGTTTTAATTCATCTTTCTTGAACACAGGTGACCAGACTAGTACACAGCATTCCAAATGAGGTCTTCCTAGATTGTCCATGCAACCTTAATTCAGTCCCCTTGTGTGTATGCATTATGATACAGTCTTTAATTACATGATCACATATTATTTTTTCCACAGGATCCCTGCCTCATTCAGGGTACAGGCTAGACCTGGTCTGGGAATGAATCAGGGCTGATTAATTGTAGGAATTCCACCTCATTTGTTACAGAAGAAGGAAGCTGTGCAATGAATGAGGTGGGAAATTGTAGGAAGAGGAAGGATGATCCCAGGATTAAGGCAGTTGAATGCTTTCCTAGAGACTTAGATTCTATTCCTCTGCCAAAGAGTTTGTACATGATGCTAATCAAGTCACTTAAACCACATTTTTCACAGGTGATCACTGATTGGTCCTCTTTTTCTGAGCACCCAAATGAGACCCTGGTGTAAGTGACCAGGGTATAGGCGATCTGGCCTAGCAACCATATCTGGGCTGGAGTTCACACATCAGGGATGGTAGCAAGAGTTGGGGTCAAAGTCTGGCCGGCTGGAGACTGTAAATCAGAGGTAGTACCAGGCTATAGTCAGGATACAAGAGTCAAGGTCAGAGTCAGCCTGGGATCAGAGGCCAGCAATCAAGATATGAGGTGATGTCTGGGGTCCCAGGAGGCCCGAAGTCTGTGCTGTTGCCGAAACAATTTCCTGGGACACCCTCCTTGCTTAAACAGGGTGGTTGGCCAATCAGAGGGCCACAGCTGGCTGCCTTGGGCGGTACTTCCAGTAGCTTCTATTCTCCATAGTGCTCCCTGGGTGTGGCTCTGCATGGTCTCCCGGTGGCACTGTGAGAACATCCGTCTACCAGGCTCTGCAGACCCGCATTAGAGTTCCTGCATCCTTACACCTCTAGGGCCTGAAGTGCTGAATTCCCAGCTGCAAGTGAAGTCAATGGGAACTGTGCTTTGAACATATAAAGTGCTAGATAATGCTAGGTACTCTGCAAAATCAGACTCTAGGAGTCTTAAATTGGGTACCCAAAATTAGTGGCTACTTTTCTCCTTAATCTTTACTGTGCTTCAGTTCCCCATCTGTAAAATGGGGATAATACTAAGGGTATTGTGATGCTTAACACATTTATGTTTGTGAAGTACTCAGATACAATTATGATAAGTATCATAGAAAAGTCCATGAGGAAATTAATAATTCTGTTTTCAGTGCAGGGTTTGAATAGTGTGCAGTAATACGGCAGGGGACCAAACACTGAACAATGAGGAGAAATCAAAATATTGAATAAATACTCATTCAGTAAGCACTCTCATCCTGTGCATTAAATGAGGCAGGGTTTGCGTGGAAAATACATGTGATCATGTAATTAAAGACCGTATCATAACACATACACACAAGGCATTTCTTAACATTTGAGACCTTACTGTCCTTTTAATGTAGTTTTTTGTATGTAATATATATACACGTATAGTAAGGGCCCCTTTAAAGTGTAATTAGTGCAAAGGAAAATGACTGTTTGCTGACTATGTGTTGTCTACCCGACAGTAAATAGTTGTTTACCAGGAGCCAGTTTCATATCTTTAGGGTTGTTCTCACGATACACGTTGTTATAAAAACAAGAAACTGTGGTATTAAAATACAAATACATATATTTTCATATATATCCCTCTGGTGTCCTAGGTAACATTTGTACTATGCCTGTAGGAACTGACTGCATGAGTGAACTCACTAGCACTGGTATAACTCTGATGACTAGAAACACTGCAATGATGATCACTCTCCAATCACTGGACAGAACAGACAGCCTTACTGCACTATAAGAGCAATATTTGTTATTAAATACTGTGTGAATTGTCCACTGGTTTTCATAATATGCTAAGTACAACACTACAATCCCCAAGGTTTTATCAAAGTAAGTTTTCTCTTCTAAGCAAGAACTTAACATAAGTACTTAGGATAAAAACCCACCTTTCGATATGCACTGTTGCTCTCTGTTGCCTATTCGGCACTTGAACATTATGTGGAGTTATCCCTGCCATTGAAGGTGAAATCCTGGCTCCATTGAAGTCGATAGCAAAACTCCCATTGACTTCAACGGAGCCAAGACTTTACCCTGAACACAGAATATGTCATCAGGAGCCACAGTCAAGATCCAAGAACCGGAATTCATTATTTTATTACACAAACAGAAAATCTGTGTGTTATATATGCATAGTAATAATGTCTGTAAGGGTAAAATACCAACATGTAAACAGTATTTTTCTGGGTAGATCTGTCTTCTCCTTAGAGCAAAATTTTGACAGCTTGTTCTGGAAGACATACTTTTATACTAATTCCTAAATTCCCTTTGTCAGCTCCTTATTTATCTTGTGATTCACAGATAATGCTGTGCTTGCAAAGTTAGCAAAAAATAGCAACAACTTTCTTCTCACCTGTTCAGCGTCAGCTAGCCCGTGTTCTTCACCAGTTTCCACCAAGGCACTGGAGCTGTGCTCCAAAAATGGTATGAGAAGTTCCTTTGGCAACCCCTCCACATTATTAAGCCAGCCATAGCCACACTCTGATGCTATCTCTGTTACGATAGAGCATTTAAACAGGTGTAAGGCTGCTGAATGAAAAACGCCAAGTAACAAAAATCTGGCATGAAGCATGAGAATGAAAAATATTGTAAGCTCTATACATGCAAAACCAATGTGATATGTGATTAATCACACACATTTTAATGGGCAGATGAACACTGTGATTTAATAATAAAATATACTAATAAATAATAATATTTACAATATAACCCCTTTTTCACAAACTAGTTGGGAATTGAGGAGTTCATAAAATGAAAACTTTCATAAAATTGGACATGTCAAAATTATAGTAGGTATGTTGCATATGTTGCAGTATGGTACACTTTCTTTTTGTCCTTCAGATGAGTGCAAAGTAATTTCCAATGCACTGAAGGCATCAGAAGGGATGTCAACTTTATTATCGACATAACTTTCATTATGTGATTTTTCTTCCATCTAGAAAAATGGTTCGTATAACCGTCATTTATAAGATTGATGTTTGTAAAAACCAAGGTTCTACTGTAATATTAATAAGTTCTTATATAGGGTTTTTCATCCACAAACCTCAAAGCACTTTACAAAAGGAGGTTAAGTGCTATCCACATTTTATAGATGGCACAGAGAAGTTATAGATGTGATTTTCAAAAATGGCCTACATTTGCTTCCATTGAAATCAACTGAAAAACTCCTATTGACTCCAATGGGAACAGCTAGGTGAATGCTGAGCTCTTCTGAGATCCAAGTGATCAGGACGTTGGTATTGTATCTGATCTGAAAGACAACTCCTCCAGTCGCACAGCACACACAAAGACTACACTGCAACATTGGTTCAGTAGTGACTTGTAGGGAGATGTGTCTCCTAATGAATCACCTCTACAACTTCTTGCAGCTCCGAGGCTTTTCCTCGAGGTCTCACATTCAAGTACTACCAAAGCCCAACTTTCTTGAGCTTATGAGATATGTTGGGATCAGAGTTCACAATAGCACTGCAGCAAACCATATGCATCTGATCAATCCAAACATCCCCTTAGACACATACATATGCACCCCTTAATGAAACTCTTCCTTAACTATAGTGTATATGAAATAAAGCAGTATTCCTACTTGCTGTTGTACGAGACTGTTTGGTATGTTGTAGAAAAGATGGAGTTTGACTAGCTTTGTCTCTGGCTGGATCCAAGACTGCGTCCCTCTTCAGATTTATCTGCTCATCCTGGAAAAACAGGTCACCATTCTTAATGCAGAAAAAATGGGGAAAGGAAAAGAAAAATAGTATAATAAAACTAGAAGTTTTAGTAATATATCACAAACTACTGCACAATTTTCTTTATTGTGTTCCTTACATTTTTTTCCCAACCCCAATTTCTGCTTCCCAACCAATCACACTTTGTAACAATAAATACTTTCTTTTCTATAGCACCTTCCATCTAATGTTTTCGACATGCTTTATAAATGTACAAAGAAAGTGGAGGTTGGTATTAGCCTGATTTTATGCATGGGGAAACTAAGGCACATAACAGCTAAGGGATTTGCCAAAGTTCATAGCAATAGTTTGAAGGAGTAGAACCCAGGTTCTGTGACTTGCAATCCTGTAAAGGCCACAAAGACCATTCTTCCTTTCCTAGACGTAAGAAGCTATTTAATTATGCATTTAACTTGGAGGTCCCTGGTGTCAGCTGAGATGACAGCAATCATACTAGTGTAGCTGAGCTGGTAAACCAGTAGCAAATTACTAACCCTTGGGAGGAAGGGGAGCATAGAAGGAATTGTGTCTTTCTGATCATGCATCACCCATTACTCATGGCAGAGTGCCACAGCAGAGGAGATCCATTTAAATGACTTGCATTATGGTCTCAAGTTGCAGTGGGGGAGGTTTTGGTTTGATATTAGGAAAAACTTTTTAACTAAGAGGGTGATGAAGCACTGGAATGCGTTACCTCCTTCCTTCGATGTTTTTACATTCAGGCTTGACAAAGCCTTGGCTGGGATGATTTAGTTGGGGATTGGTCCTGCTTTGAGCAGGGGGTTGGACTAGATGACCTCCTGAGATCCCTTCCAACCCTGATATTCTATGATTCTATGATAAGATATAGGTATTGAATCACACACATTTCATAGATTCATAGATATTAGGGTCAGAAGGGACCATCATGATCATCTAGTCCGACCTCCTGCACAAAGCAGGTCACAGAATCTCACCCACCTACTCCTGCGATAAACCTCTCACCTATGTCTGAGCTATTGAAGTCCTCAAATCATGGTTTAAAGACTTCAAGGTGCAGAGAATCCTCCAGCAAGTGACCCGTGCCCCATGCTACAGAGGAAGGTGAAAAACCCCCCAGGGCCTCTTCCAATCTGCCCTGGAGGAAAATTCCTTCCCAACCCCAAATATGGCGATCAGCTGAACCCTGAGCATATGGGCAAGACTCACCAGCCAGATTCCCAGGAAAGAATTCTCTGTAGTAACTCAGATCCCACCCATCTAACATCCCATCACAGGCCATTGGGCCTATTTACCATGAATATTTAAAGATCAATTAATTGCCAAAATCATGTTATCCCATCATACTGTCTCTACTGGAAATACCCCGTCTGATGCATCCCAAGACCGCATTAGCTTTTTTCACGGCCATATCACATTGGCGGCTCATAGTCATCCTGTGATCAACCAATACTCCAAGGTCCTTCTCCTCCTCCGTTACTTCTAATTGATGTGTCCCCAGCTTATAACTAAAATTCTTCTTATTAATCCCTAAATGCATGATTTTACACTTCTCACTATTAAATTTTATCCTATTACTATTACTCCAGTTTACAAGGTCATCCAGATCCTCCTGTATGATATCCCAGTCCTTCTCTGTATTGGCAATACCTCCCAGCTTTGTATCATCCGCAAACTTTATTAGCACACTCCCACTTTTTGTGCCAAGGTTAGTAATAAAAGAATTAAATAAGATTGGTCCCAAAACCGATCCCTGAGGAACTCCACTGGTAACCTCCCTCCAGCCTGACAGTTCCATTCATTTCAGAACAGAAGCGTTCACAGATGTGTGTGACAGCGCAGGAATTTTGAAGTTATCTGATAAATTCACAAAAGTACATCAGGCAACCTTTTAAAAAAATTAAACCTTGTTTTTCTAAATTTCAGGGTGACTTTTCATGCCTAAACACCCCGCAGTGGTGTCACATTGTCCATATTTTATAAGGAAATAATCCAAAAGGTAAGATGGCTACACAGCAATGATATAATAGAAAATGCTGAGACATCATAGATTGTTACATGAAAATATGTATTATGGAATTACATTGCCTACCAAATCAATTCAGCTGTCCCCTCCCACATCCTTCTCCCCCATGCCGTCCATTCCCCTGGGTGCTGATCTTTATTTCTTGTGAATACCTAATTAAGAAAGGAACTGATGTTTTCAGTCAGTTGCCTGTCCCGAATTTGTTGTTCATGTACACACTGGGGAAAACAGCCAGAGCTGAGCTCAGTGCTCCGCTCATATCTCTGAGAGTGCTCCATAAGAATCCAGACCTTTCAATGAGCTTTGGGTGATTAGAACCCAGACCCATGTGGAGCTCACTGCAGGACCAGGGCCTAATTCAGTAATATTGCATGAAGAAGTTTCGCAACTATACTAGCTTTCAAGGATTGTAGACATGCTATTGATGCAATGTTTACTGATAGCTTTAGCACCCTTCATGCCTTACTATGATATATGTATGTAGGCACATTTCCTTTCTGAGTGAGGAACAGTCAAATGTTCCCATTCATTGCTTCATTAACAAGTATTAAATAATGATTAATCACATGGACTGGCTGAAAAGTTAGTAAACTTTAAAATCCTCCTTTTTATATTTCAAACTGTTTGTCATTTTACAGTAATGATGGAAGACCAATGAGATTAACATGTAAATCAGGACACTTTGCAAGTACTCCCTCTTGGATACTACAAGACCAGTGTAATGGGAAGATCAGTGAACCCTACTGAAATACAGGGGGAAAGAACCCCTCACCAGTATTACAATATACCACTGGAGGTCTCCCTCCTCCTTTTTATACACAGCTTAAAACTTTGCCTTAGTATCCTAAAGTAATGTTTCATGCTAGAATAATTCTCATTAATGTTTTACAAAAGAGAAAAAAATATAACCACCAATCCAGAAAATTACAAGTGGTGCTGTTGTTGCTGTTTGACATCACATTTAAGGGATTCAACCATCTATCAAACAGAAAGAAATATGCTGTGTAAATCCATCATTAATGTATTTAGGGACACTTTGCACACTGAAGGATACCAATAGTTCTGTTCCTTGGCTCTTGACATCTTCCTACAATACAAGGGTATATATTAGTCCCAATCAAAAACCTGTCAAAAAGGAGTTATTAATATGAGAGGGAAAATGGTCTTGTGGTTAAGGCACTGGAGTGGGACTCAGAAGATTTGGGTTTGATTCGTGTGTGTGATCTTGGGTAAGTCACCTAACCTCTTGGTTTCCATTCTGTAAAATAGAGAGAATAAATACTTCCTTTATCTGGACCTTTATCTGCCTTGTCTATTTAGAGAGTAAATTCCCCAGGCCAAAAATTGCTCCTTAATGTGTGTACAGCACCTAGCACTATAGGGTCCCAGTCTCAGTTGGAGCCTTTAGGTGTGTATGTAATATAAATATTAATCAATATGTTTCAATGAAGCCCAGCTAACTATGTAAAACAAAGTGCACTTTCAAAACAAAGCCATATCTTTTAAAAACTTCAAATGTTAATAAGCCTGTAAATGAAGATTTATGGGATCCAGCCAGTTCCCCACTGTCAAATAACCCTTCATCACTCACTGTCACCCCACCCTATCACCTAACCCTGCCCAATGGAAACTTCTGGCACTTAAAGTTTTACATCTGGAAAATGATAAGGGCTCCAAGCATTTAATGTGGATAAAATACTTCCTTAGCCTCCTATACTGCCCCCACACACATTTATTTACTGCGATATAAAATGGATTTTTCAAATCCTTAATTGATGGGTTACGGTGCTGACTGTGATAGGGTGCAGAGATATGACCAGGTTCTCCACTAACAAGAGGCTCCATATTCCTTCCCTTTAACTACATGCTCAGGAGAAGGCTGACTTGCTGACTGTCACTTCCTTCTGCTATGCACGCCATGTCGTCCGCTTACTTTGACCTGCTCAAATATTGCTTGGTGTATTGATGAATGTTGTCTTTATCAGTGTAATGTGATTGTCATCTTTGACTGTGCCTGTCTATAAACATCATTCTTCTACTCCTCTGATCCAGACAATAAAGAAATTCAAATGTATGCTTATGGCTTAAAAGATTTTCATTTGCTCATTTTTGATAGAGCAAGATGGGGTTTCAGTCCATACTTCAGAAATGTGTTACAAGAGGCAGTTAAACATGATCCACCAACTTCCTATAAACATTTGCCAAACGCTTTAAAGCAGTTTCCTTAGTATAACATACTATTCTGTCTTTCTATCAAGGTTCTTATAATATAACACATCTCCGGAGTATCTGAAGGCTGCCCAAGAGATAATTGGTGTCCAGAGTTAACCTGCAAGATAATTAAATTCCTGTGTTCTAAGTTCAAACACCATCACACCCAAATATAGTACAGTGTTGGAGCATGTTGCTTCTTTAGATACTCAGTGTGAGATGAGATTTTGCAAAATATGCCATGTCAGCCTCTCGTAATTGGATGTCAGTGTCTCCACAAGACTTCATGGCCAGTGATAACTTGCACTGACACAAAGAAACAAGCCCACATTGCCCCTTGCCAATGTGAGGCACATCTCCACAGTAAATAGACTTCACTCTCTTCTTTAGTTATGTTCCTAGCTGTTCTTATTAGCCTAACAGCACCATAGTTATGCAAAGGTAAGCTACTGTCCTCCAACTCCTTACTCAGGCAAAACTCCTACTGGCTTCAATAGTTGGAAAACACTGGACTTCTGTGGGAGTTTCTGCCTCAATAGGGATGGCAGGATCTGGTCCTAAATGAACACTGGGCTCACTGAAGCCTTTGAAAGGTAAAACAAAGCTTTGGCAGAGAATTAGGGAGAGGATCAACAAATTCAATTGCCTCAAACAAGTCACTGTTCTACTGAATACTGAGAAGTAGGAATTTTCTTGTGAAATTTATCAGCTGAATACAGTAACCATAGGACAAGATTAATCTCATTATCCTGCAATAGGTGTAATGGCAAATTGACCTTTTCCCAGGCACACACTACAAAGGTGGAACTTCAAAGAAAGAAGAAAATTGAGCATTATTATTTCTTACTAATAAAGCCATGAAGGCACCTTTGTTGTTAGCCCAGAGATAAGGCAACAAAACTGTCCATCAAGTTCTCCTTTTATATACCCTGCAGCATATTTTAAAAAGCTGGCGAAAGAGATGGGCTTCCTGTTTCTTAGGCAGCTTTAACTTCTGTAACCAACACTAATAGAGAACCAACGCTCATATCTTAACAGCTTTATACTGATATTTTTTCCTGACTCAATATCCAAACATGCTGTGACAGACTGACAATAATATCCTACCTTATTAAATTAAGCTTGTTGTATTAAAAATGCAAATGTTTATGTACTATCATGGACTTGCATGGAACTTCCTCAGCTGGAAGACAGAATTAATGCAATCTCTGGGAGATATGAGGAACCTCAAAGGACTATTGGGGACAATGCGTGTATAGTGGATTTCCTAGGAAATACCTGGGGGTAAGGGGAGGACTAATGACACACTTCAAAATGCATCCTTTTGAAGCTACCTTCGGGAAAGAGAAACCAATTATCTATTAATTACCTGATCCTGGAAACTCCAAATCGGAGACCCCTAAATTGTAGGAAGGGCAGACTAAATGTGTCATGAGTGTGCTGTTCTGACCTGAAGCTGAGATGAACCTGAAACTACAAAGAAAACCCTTGGGTTGGGTTTTGAAGGATTGTTCCTTCCATATTTGGGACGGGGGGACGTCTGGTAAGTTTATTAGCCTGTGTGTAAGTTATTTTATTATTTTCAGTAGGGTTTCTCTGTAGTGCTTTTACCTTAAGAATAAAATAAGCTTGCACAGGAAGTTGTGGATGAACACTTATAACTATGGGCAATCATTCTGGTATTAGTCTCTGAAGAGAAGGCAAAAGAAGCTTGCTTAGATAACTTGTCTTTTTCTGGAATAACACAGTGAGGGTAGGGAACTGTTCAGCCTGGAGATATTCCATTCAGAAGGGAGAGAGAGACATGGATCTCCACCTATGAGATGTTTCAGAGTAACAGCCGTGTTAGTCTGTACTCGCAAAAAGAAAAGGAGTACTTGTGGCACCTATGAGATGTGACAGCCAGGGAAGCCTGAGAGTGGTGCCCATGCTGTACCACAGAGGGGGAGTTCAGGTGCAGTTGCCCTGAACTGTGACATATGCATTCTCCCAGTCTCAGCGATACAGACCATACAAATAAGCAGTCCCTCCATGGCACGCTTCATTGTCCATGTCTGAGTGCCTCTCTGCCCCTCTAATAATGTACCTAGGAAGCAACATATTAGCTTTCAAGTTTCTCTGCCTTTTGCTCTCCCTTGTAATACCAGAAGTCAACAAATGATGTAAAATGTCACTTTAGGGCCCTATGTTGCAGCAGTGAGCAGAAGAGTGCTGCTTCCCACTCAAGTAGAAATGGTAACCAGTCATCCCGCCACCCCGGAACTGTCAAGGAGACACATGCAACGAGGTTATTCTTAAACATGTGGGGCTTTATTTCACACCCCTCCCTAATGAATATAAAAGTAAAAGTTAATCACAGTCTGCATTACATTCACTTACCCAGTTACCACTGACAGCTTTATTTTCTCCATTTTCCATTCCTGCAGGCAATAGCTCCTTTTCTGCTTCTCTTGGTAACTTTGCTCCCAGTTTGTCCTTTAAAGTGATGTTTTCTTCCATAAGTTCCTCCACGCGTTCCTGAAGGTTGATTTCAGACAATTTCAGCTCATAAACACGACAGCGAGATTCCTCTAATTTCCTTGTCAGGAAATCTTCATTGTCCTGGGAGAGCTGAAGTTTAGTTAGTAGGTCTGCTTGTTCTCTATTACCACCTTCTTCTTTTTCCTGTAACCTTTTCAGATTTTGCTGCAGTGTCTGTAGGTGGCTTTTCATGTAATGATCCACATCTTCAATGAGAGTTTTTATTTTAGTTATATTCACATCTAAGTGCAAAGACCCCTGAATTCCATTGAATACTGCTTCCAGTTTGCATCGGAGATATTGTACAGTTCCCTCTCCTAGCTCAGAGAACAGAAAAGCTGTAGTGGCATTGAGATCTAGGACTTCCTTTTCCAGCCTGGAAACCTGACCCTGAAGGGACAACTCCCGTTCTCTCAACACTGCTGTCTTCTGCTTCTGCTTTTGTTTGTAGTGCTCGAAATATGCTGACTGACTCTTTACTTCATCCTCTTTTGTCTTCAATTGGTCCTGAAGTCGCCATAGCTTTTCTTTTTGTTTTCTTTCTGCCTTTTCTTGTTTTTGAACCTGCAAATTTCAGGGATTAGTATGGGAATGAAAACAACAATAGGGAAATCTATGATTCAGAATCTCTTTTCACAATATTTTTTTCCTTTTCTTAATGAAGCAATAATTTTTCCCATCTCTTCTGAACCATCTTTTGGCCAAAGGCCAGGAATAATCTGAACAAAAACTTTTTAGAAATCAATAGGACTATATGATGTGGCGGTCAGAGCAGAATTTGGCCCATTAGCTTGTCGTTTCAACCACCATCAAAACATCTCAGTTAAAAACCATGTTTGCTTTGATATTTAATATTTTAGTTCATTTTGCATAATGTAGGATACTCATCAAATCAAAACCCTTTTATGGATTAAAATGCACATAATCAGTTCCTAACTATACAACATATTATTTTTAATATTTATACTGTAGTAGTGTCCAGAGGTCACAATTAGGTTCTTAGTCCCATTGTACTAGATGCTCTTCAAACACATATGAAAAAAACAGTTTCAGTCCCCAAAAGCTTACAATCTAACATAACAAGTGACCTATGAAGTGTGGAGGGAAGAGGTGCAATGAAATATATAAATCAGAATTTGTATATTCATAAGAGTCAGTTAACCCATTTGCCCTCTAATTTAGCCATCATTAATTAGCTCAACTATTCCAAGGCCTCTGGAAATGAGGAAGCAATGCAAAGAAGGAAAGCATAGTGGGCCTTGTTAGTCAGATCACAGAGAGTGTTCCACATGTAAATGAATATGGATAATTTTAATTTTCAGATGAACCATGTTACACTTTACATGAATGCATGGGTCGTGATATAAAGTCCAAATGTGTCAGATGAAAGAAAAACAAACATTTCTTATTTTATTAACTAGTCCTGAACCAACTAAAGGCCATCAAATAACATAATGCAAACTTGGGACTTTTTCAGCAGGTACTGAAGCACAGAGACAGTCTGAATGAGGCATTTGCAGTATCCCATTAATACTGTTTCAGCTCAGTGTTTTTACACTCTAGCCTATTGATTTTTAGGGGGCTTGCTGATGAAACAAAGTAATGAGATTAACACTAAGCATGAAAGTCACGCAATGTCAGGCAGGATCAGACTATTAGGTTTAAATGAAATTACCTTCTGATGGGAGAATAGGAACTGTTTAGACAAATTCTGAAAAATATATTCTAGTTTTAAACAGGTTGATTGAGAAATTACTGAATTTAATATTATCTGTTATACTGAGACACCCTAAAAGTATATGGAGGAGTTTGAATAATGCTACTATGGTCTCAGCTCCAATGAAGGGAAAACCCCAACCGTAACCACCACTTGGTAGAGAGTGCGAGCACTCATTGAGTGGCAAATACAGTTTTGGAGACCAAGTATTCACCAGTATAAGCAATGAACCCTATAAAAATGCCAATGGCTAACTAAGCAAAGGAGCAATTAGGATAGAGCAGCTTTTGCCCTCAGAATAGGAAATGGTTCTCAATTCGGGTGGAGTGGGTTGTTTAAAACATGCTACCTTGTCTGGGGTAACTGATTCTCCATCTTCCAAGTAATGGTGACAAATTGGCCAGGACCTGGAATGTAGATTTAGTTATGGGTGGGTCAGGATATGTGGTTGGGACAATGGCTAGAAGGAAAATCCATATACTGTGTCTGCATGAAACTATGTGGTGTGGAGGCAAAAGTAAAATCTTGAAAGATGAATTTAAAAATTTTTGGTCTGGAGGAAAAAAAGAAACGAAAGGGGTTGCTATTGTCATGATCCCAGCGATTGCACAAGGGTAGAAAGAAGAGAAGACCAATTGATAGTCATATGGTTGAGGACAGAGAATAGGGTTAGATAGGTGATGTCAGCATATGTTTCAGAACAAGGTGGACCTATGGAAGAGAAGAGGAGCTTCAGAAATGAGCTGGCAGAGCTGGTGGTTAGGGTTGAGAGTCACACCTTGTTAGTGGTTGATGGTGATTTAATCTGTCTTGTTAGTGAAAGGAGCCCAGAAGAAGCAGTGGTAGGTAAATTTGACAAAAGAAATGCAGAAGGAGAGAGGGGGATTGAGTGGTGTAGGCTTAGTGGGTTTTTTCAGTGGTGCTTGCATGGTTTGGAAAATTGGGGCAAGGGAAAAGGAGGAATCAAAAGTACCCTAGAGATTGTAGACATAAGTGATGGGAGAATGGTGGTGTTGTCAGCAGTGACAGAAAAGTGGGGAAGTGGAAGGAGCTCTGATCCAGTTTAAGATGACAAGTTATTGAAGACATGTCAGCCAGACAGGCTGAGATGCGAGAACCGATGGAAGGAGACAGTTTAGTGGTAGAGAGATTGATCTGTGAGTCATCCACATAGAGATAAGCAAAAGCATTTCATTTAAACAATATCCAACTTACCAAATCTGTCAGTTCCACCTGAAGGTTTCGGAGCTTCCCTTTAACACGTAGGTTTGCATTTTCTACCTGCTGTAGCTTTGCATTCAGTTGGTCAACTGTTTCGAAAAGTTTCTTCTGTGACAGCTCCAGCTCCTTTGCTCTACATTATTGAAAAATAGGATTGCTTCTGAATCAATACATCACAATATTGTTTCCAGAGAAATAATCTATCATCAATTCTCCAGTTACACTCTTTTCTCTCTCATCAATAATAGTAATTAACACTACATCACTGAGAACTGAAAATTAATAACTGATCATTGATAACTAATTAACAGTGGTTCCAGCATTATAATTACAAATAGTGTTTGCATGCATGTAGCAAATTTCACTGGAAACTCTCAAAGGCCTTTACGGGGCTCTACTGAATTGTAAATGTCTACATTGCAATCTTTCTCTGGGATGCAGAGGTGCATAAGGAGGAAAGGATACTTGCAGTTTGAAATCCATAAGCAAACAGAAGCATTTGATTAGTGGTTTATGGCAGCCTGTTGTGGCATACAAAGTGGACACCTACCATAAATGGGCATACTTTGTAGCCAAAAGAGACATAGTTATCTGACAACAGGATTCTGCTAGCCCCATGACTGGTGAATGTAAATGTTACCATCAGCAACAGTCACGTCATATATTCCTCCTGTTTAGAGAACCAGTAGGAAGTACCGCACTATGAGTTATGCTGGCTTAATGCAAGACATACTGCCCTGTAACATCTCTTGTAAGGTATCTTTCATACTGGAAATTAAAGCTTGCTATGACTTATACCCATCTGCTTTGGCTTTTGGCAATAAAGCTGAGATTTAGCACAAAATATGTTCCTTTCCTTGTTAGTAACCTCTCTGTAGCCTAGGCTCACAACATGGGAGCCAGCTTAGACTCCTTCCTCTCACCCAGGACATATCCAAATCTTCTCCACATTCTAAACACTTCTAAAACCCAAATCATCTTCTGTTTTATGGGCAAAAATGCTTTCCTAGTCTCTGATCATCTCCTGTCTTAAATAGCACAACCTCCTTTTCTCCAGCCTTTCTGATACCCGCCTCATCTTCCGCCAGCCTGTGTCCTACCTTAGGCCTTATCTCCTTGTTATGGCCTCCCACAATGACGCCCCATTCCTCTCCTTTTGTCAATCCCATCTCCATACATTTTACCATATAGTTTCCTATGTGTGAAGAGCCCTTTCCAAAGCATATGTTTAAAATAATTATACACTCACTTCTCAAACAAACAACCTCACAAAGTCCTTCCCTCCTCTAGATTTCTCTGTGCATCCTGCAAGATCTTCAGGCTGTCTTTATTGGTGTGCACTCTGTACAGACTGAGACCCTTGGTAATAAACAAATAAAAGATACTGATGCAGACAATTATCTTTGAACGTCCTTTTGAACCTACCCATATATCTTCTATCTCATCTAGCTTTGCTTTGAATAGCACTATTGCCATGCATCAAGAAACATTCACCCAGGGCAACTGATGCTTAATGGAGTCATTGGTTTGAGCAATACTGTTACTTAGGACCAGCAGACTAAATTATACCTAGCTTTCTGAAACGCTGATTTTGTTTGACAATACAAAGCATAATTACAAATGTACACATAGCTGACATCAACCATTTTTTGATTTCAAATAAACTTTTCACTTTAAAAAGAAGAAGAAATATAAACTATGTTACCAGGATATTCAAATCAGTCCACTGGTCTTAAATGTGTGACTTATGTAATAAAATGATAGACTTTGATCATTATAATTATAATCTGATAATTCAGTCAATCTGGAATCCACGTTTTTATTCGTTCTAGAACTGTTAAACTATATTATGACATCCAATAGAAAAAGCACATATTTTACATACTTTAAAAGTCTATAATACAAAACATGCATTTACCTGTTTCCTAGTGCAGAATTTGACTTTGTGTAGTCCTCTAAAATGTCTTTCAGTTTTTGCTCTGACTTTTCCAGCTGTTTTATTCTGAGATTCAACATCTCCACTTCAGCACTGTTTACTGCCCCTTCAGACTCCCTTGCACTCCCTTGCACATCTTCTAAATCCTGGAAAATCCAGGAAGTATCAATTTTAACATTCAGATTCAGAACATCAAATCCTCCATTACTGGTGCTTTAACACAATAACAAAATTCTTGTCCTCTTTCAGATGAAGGCTCCATGAGTAAAAATATATATTGTTTAAGTTTCACCACATGAATGCAATCTGAATGTTTCCTTTTTTCAGAAGATGTTTAAGTGCTCGCCTTAACTTCTATGGTGCTCGGATGAACGTCTTTTGTTGATAATGAACACATTTATTATTCATGAGAGAACCGCATACATTTCATTCACCCAAAAGTCATTCAAAATGTATGAAGGAAGTCTCAGTTTGCAGCAAAAGAGAACTCCAGACAAGACATTATGAGTCAAATTCATGGAGGAATTATGCATCACACCTGAGACTGAAGTGGACGTAATTTCCTGGTAAACACAGAGGAAGATAACAATATGAAGTACATTTACGGGTTTACAATAGCTCTTCCACTCCTAGCACGACTGTGTCATTCTTTGGATTGTCTGAATGCAGAAAAACAGAAAGTAAGCAGAAGAGGCATTTACTGGTTCAAAAGGCAAACTATGAATATTTATGAGAAACATTCAGAATCTTTAATTGATAGTTAAAAGGGTCAGGGTGAAAATGTATTTCTGCTTTGGTCTTTTATAGAATTATGTCCCAAAGTATTTTCTGAACACAAAATGTTACAACAGAGATAAAGCGACTCGCACACAACCTGAGAAATACTGGCTAAAGTCTTCTGTCATACAGACCTCTCGTAACGTTAAAAAGTCTCCTCTGCAACAGAAGGAAAACAAGAAAGTCTTGCTTGCAGCTAAAAGCCTACAGAAGAATGGTTTCAAGATGGTATGAGAAGATACACATAAAAATTCCATTACTTATTAACAGGATTTTATCTCCACATTTCAAGTATATCATTTGGAAAATATATTAATTATTATTTATTTGTATTGTATAGTCGTACTGCCGAGAAGCCAGAGTGTTAATGTGCTAGACATTGTACAAGCATACAACAAAGAGAAGGCCCCCGCCCTGAAGAGTTTGCAGTCTAAAGAGAGCTTGCATTCTAAACCTAGGTCCAAGTCCTGCAAGTAGAATGTGTTTGGTCCTGCACCCTCACAGAACCCTGCTAATTTCAGTGGGGCTCCATGCAGGCACAGGGGTTCCCTCACACATTGTAACAAGCAGGATCAGGACTTTACTCTACAAAGACAAATAGTTTATATATTGCTCAAAGTGTGGTTCCACTCTGAAAAATGTTAAAATTTGCACCATGGGTTTCCATGTTTACCGCCTCATAATTAGAGTGACCAGATGTCCCGTTTTTAAAGGGACGGTCCTCTATTTCAGCCTTCCTGCAGGTGTCCTGACTTTTTCTTACAAACAGGCAAATTGTCCCATATTTTCTGTCTCCCCCTCATCAGTACTGGCGGGTCCTGCTGCTGGCCAGATCCCTACTTGCTAGCCACCCGCCCACCAGCAATGGGGGTGGGTGTGCAAGGCTAGTGGCGGGGGGAGGGGAGAGAAGTTGCAGCGTGCAGGGCCAGCTACTCCTCCTGCTGGTGCATCAGCACAGTCCCCACTGTGTGCTGTCTCTCGGCCAGCAGGGCTCTGCCCCCCTGTCCCATTTCCGGCTGGCACTGGCTGCATGCTGCAAGCTATGGCAGCCGGTGAGTGCGGGCAGGCGCCAGGTAGCGTCCGGTTATGTGTCGCCTCTGCTGTCCACCCATCGTCCCTTTACATGCTCCTCCTCTCACTGTCCTCTCCCTGCTTTGCCCCTTCACCCCTCCCCTCCAGCCCCACTGCTCCTCCATATCCTCCCCACCCCCAGCGGGCGCGTCCCACTCCCAGTGCTGTGCAGAGAACCAGACCCTGTTCAGAGTGCTCAGCTCAGCAATAGCCTGGCCAGCAGGCTCCTTCCTTTCCCCAGGGCCTCTGGCTGGGCCAGTACCCTGGGAAAGCCCAAGACTGTCTGGCCCGGAGCAGTAGCAAGGAGGAGCCAAGCCCTGCATGTGCCAAAGCCCTGCACAGCACCGGCAGGGGGAAGCCTCTCCACCCCTCAGCTAAGCCCTGGAGTGGCGGGGGCAAGGAGGGAAGCAATTTGAAGCCTGTTCACACCCTGGCCCTGCAGGCTCCACTGCAGCTCCCCCGAGCAGAGGCTTAGCTCCCTCTTCACCTGTCCCTCCCCTTGGCACCTTCCTCTGCTGAGCCACCTCTCTGGCTGGGTTCACTGAAGCCCCTGTAGTCAGGTTTTCTGGGCCCTGGTGCACAATGCATCCTTAGGGCTTAACCCCTTCCTGCCCGTGCTGGAGCCGAGGGACAGGAGGCAGCTGGGTTATGTTGCTGGTCAGCAGCAGCCTGGAGGTGTTAGCTGCCTTTCGACACTGTGCAGGCAGGAAGGGACAATCTGCTTCCAGCTACTGGAGAGCAGGGGTGAGAGATGAGCTCTGCAAAGGCACAGACCAGGTCATCCCTTCCCCGTCCTCCTGCCCTGTGGCTGAAAGCAGCTCCTATCCCTTCCCTCCCGCACAGTGCCAACAGGCTGCTGTTGGCCACATTCTGGTGTGAACCCTGGCAGAAATCTGGGGAGGTGGGCATGTGACCCTGTGTGTCCCCCATGTTACTTCGGGAAGACATAGCACCAGGTACAGGTCCATTCCAGGGGCCCAGCCAGGCATGGAGGGTAGAGATCATCGGGCAGGGAGAGTTGGGTTGGTCAGTCACGCTCCCTGTGTAAGAGAGGCTTACAGGAGTGGGTGTGCATCACCCCTCCCTGTGTAAACCCTAAAGCCTTAAAGATAAGAAATTAAATAAAAAGAATCCAGCTACGCAGGATTTCTTTTTAACAGGGGCTCAGTCAACTGGATGTTAATCTGAACGTTTGTACTGCATAGTTCTGATTGATTGCCGTTGGACTCGCTTGAATATGAGTAATTTTACCAGGTGTCCCGTATTCAGCATAGGGAAATATGGTCACTCTACTCATAATGATTTCCTGCTGAAATTTGCCAGGTTTGTAGTAAAAGGATATTGTTGTTTTTTCCTAACTGCCAGCCCTGCAAAGCCAACCTGGGTTTTGAAAGTCAAGCTGCATTTTTTACTTCATCGTCATCAACAACATTGCTAAAAGTTCTTCAGACCCTATTACATCCTAATTTACACATTTAATCTTCAGCATAGGCCTATAAGTGACATCTGTGCAACTCCATTGCATTCCATAAGTTTGCATAGGTGTAACTGATAATGGACATATAATAGAAACATATAATAAATGCTGATAATGGACCTATGCACACTAGTGATTTTATACGCATAAATAATTAAGGGCCTTTTAATTTTTTTCCCTTAGTGTCCTGCCATAACATGTAGCTCAAATGGCAACATGAAAACAATGAGTAAAAAGTTCCTAGTGCAGTGTATCATGTATTGTGAAAAGTATCCTACAGATATAAGAGGAGAGGGTGGATTGGCCATGATATAAGCATCAATTTAAAAATCTGCATTTGTTTCCATCCACATAATTCCATTAGATGTCCTTGCTAATAAATGAATTTCTATTCATCAATATGAATATAATGAAATCTGATGCAACATATTTAAATAGCATCATGAACTGTCTAGAACTAGAACTAAGCACCACTAAGCTTCTAGTACATTCATGACTTGATCCCGTAACGTGCCGAGTGCTCCGGACCCAATTCAGCAAAGAACGTAAGCAACTCCTTGAACTTTAAGCACCTGAGTAGTTCTGTTAGCTTCAATGGGACCACTTGTGTAATTAAAATTAAGCACATGCTTAAATGCTTTGTTGGATAGGCCCAGAGGGTAATACATTACAGCCATCAATATAACTTGGTATTTTTAGATCACATTAACGCTATGAATTCTGAACATACAACTATGTGGGCAATTTACACAACCTATTGATCATAAAAATCCAGACAACTCCATTGCATAATAGGAACAAACTTCAGCGCAAGGCTCATATTTCAAAAGTGTTACCAACTCTGTATAAGTACCTGACAGAGAAAGGACTTCCCTTAGTTAATTACACTTCGAATGAGGAGAATTAACCTAACCTGGATTTCTGTGTCTACTAGAAATAGGTTTAATAGATTCTAGGTGTACCCCATCCCATTGATATGCTTTGTGAATACATTAGATGTGTGTTCTTTTTTCCCCCTCTAATTTTTTTTAACATGAATTTAGTGTATGTGCATTGCATGTCCTCACTTTAGATCTATCCTGCAAACTGAGGCCATGCAGCACCTCGCAAGGGTGCTAAGTGTGGTTTAAGGTTTTTATCTGCAGGACAATTACAGTACAGGTAACAGTAGAATTACCAGCTTCCAACCCATGTGCTTCACACCTGATCACGGAGAATGCAATGCATTCTTGCCTTCGCATATTTGAATGGGGAGGGAGAGAATCAGATGTCTACACTGATGTAAAACTTGTGTCAAGGAGGCCCAATATATTTTGCACAGGGTTTAATACAATCAGTTAACAAGTGATGGTTACTCTCATTCCTACAAGAGATACCAATTATGAAAGGTTAGTAAGGTGAAAGTAAAAATCCCAGACTTCAAAAACCATGAATCCCATCAGCCCAGCAAAAAGACAAGACAAAATGCCACAAACTCTATAAGGAAAATTCCACCTGTATCAGCAGATTCCATTGCTGCAAAATATAACACATCAATTCAAACACAAGAATTAAAAGGTACAAAAACAAACCTGTTCCATACTTTTGCTGCTTTGCAATGAGACCATCTCCTGTCCTTCCAGAGCACTTACTGCTGAACCAAATGCTGAGTGACAGTTTTGTTCTTGTGCTTTTAGTTTTATTTCCAAATTGGTGATAAACAAGCAGAGTTTCGGTTTCTTTTCTATGTGAAATGCACTTTTCAGTTGTGCTCTCCTTGCTTCTTTCCCATCACCTGCTTTAGGTATTGGCTTTCTTCAACAGTCTCAAGTTATGTCCTTCCTTTTTAATGCCTACACTTCTTTTTTGCAGTGAAGATGTCTTCATTCCAAGTTCCATCACTGCACTGCTGAAGTCTTTAATTAGATATGAAATTTCTCTATTGTTTAAAAGGACAAGTTCTCTAAACACTCCATTTTCTATTTGATTCATGCACTCTGTAGGGGTTCAGAATTTTCCAGCCTATTGGATCATGCCTTTGACTTGCTTGATTCTATATAAATTCAATTGTGCTTTTTGTCATTAGAACAAATCATCTTCCTTCTGTTTACCTCCCCACATAAACCAGTTTTTCTTGCATAACAGTGAGTTAGCCTCTTGGAGTCCCAACATTTCTTCGGCAGCTAATCCTGACTGATATCTTTATTTGAAGTCTATGTTCCTTTTATTTCATAGCCCAACCAATAACTAGGTGGATCCTCCTACTCTGAGCCTTCTAGTCCTCTTTCACATCCAGTATTCAGCTCCCATCATATACCTTTCCCTCAGTTTTTTTTGTCATTATCATTTTCATCCTGCCTCTAAAGTGCTAGAAACTATGAGAACTACCTCTATTTCTTGATATCGTCTTTCCAGATCTGAAATAATGCACTATAATTTATTATCCTTCCTTTGACAATAGGATCTCTGTTGGCATTCTAATCACTGTCCATCTTTAACAACTTTCTCCATATCTGATTATTTTTAATCTGTAATTTCATTTTGTCTGCTAGTTCAAATGGTCAATGTCAACATTTGTGTTTATCTAACTCTGTTGGTTGGGGGTAGTGTCATGTTTACTTCTTTGTGGTTAATGTAATTATACTTTTCCTTTATTTCCCCCAGGAGCCCATTGTGTTTCTCTTTGCATTCCCTTTCAGATATTTCTTTTACCATCATGTTCCTGTACTTGCCTGTTCCTATGTTGAAATTTTAGGTCAATCTCCTCTTCATGCTTTAAGACATAATTGACTGTGGTGTACTGTATGCTCTGCAGTCATATGTTGTGCTTTCCTGAGCTTCCATTTCATCTCAAGATCATTCATTCTTCCAATGAAATCCTTCTAAGTGATTGCTTTAATTTTCAAGTGGCATTCAAAGATTTGATTCTCTGATGCAACTCCTATCCTCCCCACAGTTTTACTTAATCCAATGAGTCTAGCTCCTTCTCTTGCTGCATGTTTACCTCTCTATGTCTCATAGACAACCACTAATTTCTGAGAACTCCACTTCACCTATTGGGTTGCTTTCACTAAACAGTTATTTCCTCTCTTTTCCTATCTGTGTGGTTTCAGAGTCTAACAATTTAGTATGAATTTTACCAGTGTGTTTCTAAATCTCTTTTTCCAATTTTGTACAGTTTTTCCCCCTTCAGATATTTACTATGGCATTTACTGTCAGCATTTAACTTTTATATATATATTTTAAAAAGGAGCTTCTGTAGTTCTTCTGTGAAATACAAACCACCTTTGCTGAAAGCATGCAATATGGAGAAACAAAAGACATGGTATTATAAGGACATGGTATTATAATAAAACCATTTGGTAGATAATAGTTCATAAAGCAGTCAGTAATTGCACTTGATATTTTTTCCCAGTGTTTGATTCTTTTTTGTAAATTCTGTATAGATTTTCTTAGTGTTCATGGTGTGCTGGTCCTTATCTGATTATCAAATCATTCCAGTTTGAAACTATATCTTTACAAAATTCCTAATTTTAATTCAAATATCTTGCCGCTTGAAGTATTATGCAAACTGTTTCATGACAAAAATGCTCCAATTTAAAGCTGCTCAAATAATTATTTTCTGGTTTTTGCACATGGATTCAGTTGTTCACTCCATAGGCTCTTTTAATATCCTACAGGACAAAGAGAACATTATAAGTTAAACCTGCTTTATTTAGAAATTTATGTTGGCACCCATCCCAAACACCCAAACATCACAACAACTTCTTAAAGGGTGGAGATCCTCCTGTCTTTACAACAGAAAACATGAAAGATTGGCATCACTAATAGATTCCAAACGTCCCTGCTTCTCTTCACCATGAGGTACAAGACTCCAGCTAAAAGTTAGCTGAATGCAGTTCCCTTAATATGACTAAGATCTTCTCTACACACACAAGTCGTATTGCTATACCACAGTAGTTAAAGTGGTACAACCTCCCTACTGCAGATGGAATACTATTACTATACATGTGCTTCCATAGCTTATTCCTGTATGGGAAGGGGAATAAGCTATATCGGTATAAGGCATCTTTATACCACTCTGACTGCATCCACACTAGGGATTGTACCAGTACAACTATAGCAGTTAAAAACCCTCCGAACTGGCGTAATTGTACGTCTACAGAAATTGTGGACAGACCAGGCCTAGAACTATAGCTAGAGCTGGTCAACGTTTTATTTTTAATGTTCAAAATTGAAAAAAATGTTTAGTGACTTTTTTTTCATACAAAAAAACTGGTTTATTACTAGCTTTTTTCTAAATTTTCAAATGGTAATATTTTTTCACAATTTTTTGAAAAAAATTGTTCAGCATTTTGTGACTAGCCAGACTAAACAAAATCGGATGAAACTTTGCTAGAGAAAATGATTTGGGGGTTGCTTTTATTCTATACCCCATTCATACCCACCACCAGCCAAATTAGCTCTGTTTCTTTTGATTTTTAGCAAAACAGATTAAAATCTCCTCAGAGTGAGAAAACTCAACTCAAAGAGGCAAGTCACATCCCAACAGACTCTCCACTGCTCCAAACAGTTCATCTCCACAAGACTTTACTGGGGCGATGGCAGAGGATAAGAATAACTTTTGTCTCAACCACAGTCATAGCACGGGAATATACTTTTATCCATATGATAGGGATTTCACACAGATGCGTTAGCCCCCTTCCTTATTGCTGTATTACTCACAGGTCACGGTAATGTGTGGACACCCACAATGATTAATTAGTTAATTAATGAGGCAAGCAAAAAGCTGGACAACAAAACTATATGGTAAATACAGAATATTATCCTTTTCTTAGGTATAACATTGCTCAGTACTGGAAAAGTGGCTGGTGTTCAACTTCAGCTTTGATTTTTCATTGGTCTTTTGTTTCACTAACAAATAATATTGGAATATATTGTGCCCATCAATACCCACCATTATTTTATTGAAGATCAATAAACAGCACAAGGAAAATGTAAAATACACATAGCAGTTCAACATATTGAAGGGCCTGCCCCAACTCCCATTTACAGCAATGAAGAGACAACCACTGATCTTACTGGGAGCCAGTAAGTCCCAAATAGAGTACAAGCCAAAGTGAGATTGAAATTTCATATTCTGTAAAAGTCAATAAACAAAAGTTCCTGTGACCTCAATATGCAGAAGAACGTTCATGGGTTCAAACTTAGATCTCAACATAAATCAAATATGTTGGTAATATTTCAGGGGTGACCATTATACTATCTCCTCCTCTGCATAGTGATATGAAAGTCTGGGTATCAAGGGTTTGCCCTGGAGAGGTGCTGATTATCTCCATCTCCCACTGTAGTCAATTTCCATCAGTGGAGTTCACAAAAGAGCCAAATGTAGTAAAAACACCTGCCCTCCTGTCATTTGATTGCAAGCAGTGCTGAGCACTCACAGTTTCCATTAACTTTAATGGGATTACTGGGTTCTCAGCACCAGTCAAAATAAGTAAGAGGGCAGAAGATGTGATTTCTGCATCAGGATCTTTGGAGATCATCAGTGGATATGGATAAGGATTCCAGAATGCTACTAATAGATGCATTTTCACCTGTTTGATAATGAAGCCTTGCAAAAAATCTATCAGACTCCTTCGGAGTCACAAGTCAGCCCTGTTTCCCATTGGAAAAAGGGAAAAGTAAACCATCTACAGCTACACATGGAACAAATTACATTCCCGTTCACACTGTTTCAGCTCTGCTGACCAGCATATTGTGGAGGGGTTGGGGAAAGAGCCAATGCTCAGATTACTGCTGGCTCCATCCCAGCTACCTGAACGGGAAGGGAGCTAGCAGCTCTGTGGCCGCTTTCTCCGCTCGCATACAAACTGGTGATGAAAGTAACACACAGAGAAGTAAAGAGCTGCCTTGCACCCCTTTCCCTTGTGCAGGTGTATAAGGCAGGCCCTGTGTAAATTTGCATTACAACCTTTATAGCACAGGGTGAAATTTCATATTGCTTTGCTGAGATGCACACAGGTGATTCTTCTCTAAGCAAAAATGTAAAGGTTGAAATATTTAGGGCATGCATAATGTTAGGTTCAGGCTGAAAAAAGTTTGAGGAAAAGGGAGATAAAGAGTGAACAAATGACCTTTTTTTAAATTTGTGGGCCATCAGTTTTAATCCCTGGAGTTTAGAGTTAGGCATCATACTTAGGCACTTAAATGACAGTGACCTGGTTTTTAGATTTCAGAGTAACAGCCATGTTAGTCTGTCTTTGCAAAAAGAAAAGGAGTACTTGTGGCACCTTAGAGACTAACCAATTTATTTGAGCATGAGCTTTCGTGAGCTACAGCTCACTTCATCGGATGCATACCGTATCATGCACATTGTAGGGAGAGTGGTCACTTTTGATAAGCTATTACCAGCAGGAGAGTGAGTTTGTGTGTGTGGTTTTTGGAGGGGGGTGAGGGAGTGAGAGAACCTGGATTTGTGCTGGAAATAACCCACCTTGATTATCATACACATTGTGAAGAGAGTGGTCACTTTGGATGGGCTATTACCAGCAGGAGAGTGAGTTTGTGGGGGGGAGGGGGGGGGAGGGTGAGAAAACCTGGATTTGTGCTGGAAATGGCCCAACTTGATGATCACTTTAGATAAGCTATTACCAGCAGGACAATGGGGTGGGAGGGGGTATTGTTTCATGGTCTCTGTGTGTATATAATGTCTACTGCAGTTTCCACGGTATGCATCCGATGAAGTGAGCTGTAGCTCACGAAAGCTCATGCTCAAATAAATTGGTTAGTCTCTAAGGTGCCACAAGTACTCCTTTTCTTTCTGGTTTTTAGAAGTGCTAAGTTCCAGCAACCCCCCTGGAGTCAATAGGAGCAGTGGGTACTCAGCATCTTTGAAGGTTGTTTTATTTAGGTACCCAAGTCAGAATTTAGGAGCCACATATTAGACACTGGGGGGATTTGATAGCTGCTTTCAATTACCTGAAAGGGGGTTCCAAAGAGGATGGATCTAGACTGTTCTCAGTGATAGCAGATGACAGAACAAGGAGTAATGGTCTCAAGTTGCAGTAGGGGAGGTTTGGTTGGATATTAGGAAAAACTTTTTAACTAGGAGGGTGGTAAAGCCCTGGAATGGGTTACCTAGGGAAGTGGGGGAATCTCCATCCTTAGAGGTTTTTAAGGTCAGGCTTGACAAAGCCCTGGCCTGGAAGATTTAGTTGGGGATTGGTCCTGCTTTGAGCAGGGGGTTGGACTAGATGACCTCCTGAGGTCCCTTCCAACCCTGATATTCTACAATTCTGTGATCCTGGTTTGAATATGTTGGTTGTTATTGTTTCTCTTCATGTAGGCATTCTTCACGGCACTCTTCACTATGGTCTTCATCACCTTGCAAAGAAGAGTCTCAAAATGCAGCAAGATCTAACAGTCAGATATTAAGTACATAAAATATAAAGAATACCAACCACATTTCTTGGCTCAGGCGTGTCATCAAGGCCACACAATGAATGCTAGTGAGAAAAACAAAAAAAGGAACAAAAACTATAAAATAAGATCAAAAGAAAATGAGAAAAAAGAAAAGAAAAAAGATGTAAGATATGTAATAAGGAATTCAGTGACATTATTTTACAGTAGTTAGCCCCAATTGAATTGATTGCGAAAAGTATATACAGCATTCTGGGATTTTTCTTCTGATCTTACACTGAAAACTAGCAATATGTAAAATTCAATACTTGATGGTAACTTTGCAAACTGTAACACCCAAAGATTATGGACTCTAAATTTAAGGAATATGAGTCTAGGCAATGAGACCTGAGCACATGCTTACAGTTAATTATGTTCCTAAGTGCTTTTCTGATTCAGATACAAATAAATGGAAGACAAGGTGTAATAAATTAATTATAATAGGTGGGTGCAATCTTAAACAGGAAATACCCCTCAGATATAATCTGATGGAATACAAAACAAGTTTTGATATGTATTTTTCTCTAGATATATATTTTGATGGAGTCTCTTCCTTGTTGAGTAGGCAGGCTGGCATTCCACAACATTGTTGTGCATAATCTTAAGGAAGGAGACAGATTGGCTGAAGAACCCAAAGTGCAAAAATGCTAAATTACAAAAACAGAAAGTCAAGTGACAAAGAAACCTACCCACAACCACAGACTTCAGGAATAAATTACTACTGTGTCAAAAATGTACCACTTCACTTGGCCGCAAATTCATTATGCTCAGTGTCATCTGCATGCACAAATCACACTGCATTCACTGACATGACACATTTCCAGTAGAATAATGAACCAGAATTGATGCCATTCATTGATTCACTGGCTGCTTGACCTTCTCTGGGTGCAGTCAAATGTGGAATTTAGTACGTCAGTAGCCCACAGGAAGAAGCCTAAATACAGCTTAGGGCACACACACATGCACAAACATCAAAGAGTGTTAGAAATGCTATACCAATGTTATATCTCAGGGGTGGGCAAACTTTTTGGCCCGAGGGCCACATCAGGGTGCAAAACTGTATGGAAAGCCAGGTAGGGAAGGCTGTGCACCCCAGACAGTCTGGCCCCTGCCCCCTATCTGCCTCCACCCACTTCCCACCCCCTGACTGCCCACCTCAGAACCCCCAACCCATCCAACCCCCCCCCCCCCGCTCCTTGTCCCCTGACCGCCCCCTCCCGGCACCCCCTGCCCCTAACCGCCACCCCCATCTAACCCCCCCATCCCCGTTTCCTGTTCCCTGACCCCTATCCAAACCCCTGCCCCCTGACAGGCCCCCTGGGACTCTCACACCTATCCAACCCCCCTGCTCCCTGCCCCCTGACTGCCCCCCCAATCCCTATCCACACCCCTGCCCCCTGACAGGCCCCCTGGGACCCCACCCCCTATCCAACACCCCCTGCTCCCTGTCTCCGGACCGCCCCGACCCCTATCCACACCCCCACCCCCTGATAGGCTCTCCGGACTCCCACACCCTATCTAACCCCCCCTTTTCCCCAACTGTCCCCCCAGAACGTCTGCCCCATCCAACCACCCCCCACCCTCTTATAATGCCACTCAGAGCAGCAGCAGCTCGCAGCCCCGCGGCCCGTGATGCGGCACAACTACGGAGGAGAGGGGACAGCAGGGGAGGGGCTGGGGGCTAGCCTCCCCGGCCAGGAGCTCAGGGACTGGGCAGGATGGTCCCGTGGGCCGGATGTGGCCCACGGGCCGTAGTTTGCCCACCTCTGTTATATCTGAAAGTAGTCACAGAAGCAGTGTCCAGCGACAGAAGCTGGAGATCACAAAAATAATTCTGTAGGGAAGAGTGGGCAATCACTGGCAGTAACAATGCCAGTTTATGCCAGATAGAGGGAAGTCCCCCAAAGAAGATGGCTCTCAGTTGGATAATTTCCTGCTATAGTAGTACAATATGGAACATAAATACATGTAACCTGCAACCAACATTCTGCGGAGTGAATGTGGTTAAGCTTTTTCTCCGTAACCTCTTTTGATACTTCCCTTCATTCACTGTCTTGGCGAGTCAGCATAGGAAATATTGACAACATCCATCTAAAAAATAGCACTCCCCCTCTTACATCTGTTTCATGAACTATAATCATTTTGTGCCCATGGATTAATAAAATATATTTTTGTCAGAATTCATCTCTTCATATTAAATATTAACATCAAGCTCATTCTAATATTGTGGAATGACCTTGGAGTGGATACTATGGAAAAGTCAACATGGGGGAATAGGTCCAATATAGTGATAGCTGAGATACCACAGTGTTACTTCTGTACTTAGGTTAGATGTTAACTATGTTGTCTCGGACATCACTGATTGGTAACTACTGGCAAATACTTTCTTTTCAATGGCGATCAAAACCACTTGAGAAAAGCATCCCCTGCCCACCTAGAGAAGAACAAAGCAAGGAATAGAGAGAAAGAGCACCACTCCAGGCACGGATAGGAGGCCCCATCCTTTCTCTTAAGGCAGCTTGTTAAAACCAACCCAGGGTTGAGTCCTGGTAATTCAAGGAGGAGTCACGGTACCACTACAGATGAATGACTAAATGAAAGTGGCACCTCACTCCTCTACGTTTGACTGCTCAGTTTAATCTCTGCAAAAGAGCTAAGTGTTTGCTTTTCTAAAGGATTTGTGTATATAGCACAAATGCATTTTTATAAACCTTACTTATCTGAAAGCCCCTTTTATTACAGGTGGTACTGGTGTCACTGCCTATTATTAAGGTTCTCCAACACTTACCATTATAAGACCCTGTTTTCTGTTGCTTACAATTTTGTTAAATTGTAATAATTTGAGTTGAAGTTCTCCATGCCAGTTGTCTATCTCAGGGAAAATGGGTTTTTTTTGGAAAATGTCAGCCAAAATGGTTGCCAAAGATAAGGGTAGGGGAAAATACATGGTTTTGCCCATGTTGTAAAAATTTGAGAACTTTTCTTTTGAATGCTCTAGCACCGCCATGTTTCAGAGGAGGGACTTGACATTTGGCAAATCAAACCATAGAATTGCAAGTTGGGCACCCAGAAAATGAGGAATAGACACTAAGTATCCACCTCTGAAAAGTCTGGTTTAAATGACTTGCCCAGCATCACACAGGAACTCTGTGGCAGAGGCAGGGATAGAATCCAATTCTCCAAGGCAGCATTCAACTGCCTTCAACATGAAACCATCCTTTCTCTTCCTGTACATGTGCGCCTCATTCACTACACCCCTTCCATTTTCTAAAACAAGTGAGGCAGGAGTCCTCAGGGACAACAGCCTCCTTTACTATGTACCCCTGATTCATCACCAGTGCAGGTCCATTCTGTATACTGAGTGAGGATGGAGTTCCGTGGGAAAAATAGCTGTGATTATGTAATTAGAGACTGTATTGTAATGAATACCCACAAGGGGGCCTAATTAAGGTTGCAAATGCTATCTTAATTCTGGTGCTTCCTAACTTTTGCTTGTCTTTGCAACTTTAATAATTCTAGTAACATAATTGTGTGTGTTTGTGTAATCCAAATAGTGTCATGTCCCGTGAGCTGGGAACCTGACCATGTTTCAGCCAATAGGGTGTGTCAGATAAGCGAGGTTTGGCAAAGGGACTCTCACTTAGCTTCTCCAAGTCCAGCTGGCCCAGCAAGCCTCAAGTGATTTAGCCCTGGGTTTCTCAAGTGATTTAACTGAGAGTCAGTGCTTAAAGTACCTCAACACTCCATCTTCCCTGCTGAGTCCTCCAGAACTAGTTGTCTACAATCAGGAAAACTAGGAGGCATTGAAGCCTGCAGTCCTGAGACCCCATGTGTCTGGCGACCCCACTGACACAAGGCTTTTTGATTGTCATCTGAGACCATGTGAACTTCTTCAAAGCATGGCGGCGTTTGAACCTAGGGTATCGATTTGGGACATCTCTACTCCTAAGCAAGGAATATACCCTACCTCCAACAGTCATCCCATACAATATGAAGTCTGCTCCTTTCCCATTCTCCTTTAACTATCTGTGTCTAAAACAATTTGAGCAATTGTTCATACCCAGGTTACCCTGATGTTAAGATGACTCCAGTGTTGCCAAATTTAAACCTGTTGTCTAGTTTTCTGCCTGTAAATCTGTGCACTTCTTTTATCTGGGCTACCCCCACCCCCACAATACCTCCTACTTTACATCTTTTTTCAGACCCTTCTACTTCCTTTCTAAATCTGATGTACAGCCAAAAACGAGGTAGCAAAATAATAACTGTGTGCAGATTACAAAAAGTTAATATTCACATGTTCTTATAGTTTAAATAGTGCATTGGATATGGAGAGAATAGGCTGCATGAACCACGGAGGGCCAAATTCTGCTATCCATAAAATAAGGAGGAAGAACAGTTTTGTTCTATAGGACTATGACTAAAGACAACTGGTTGTATTCTCAGCTTTGCCACAGTTTTCTTTTGTAAACTTGGGGAAATCAATTTGGGTGTGAATCTATAGGACCCTATGACTTCAGTGGAAGTCTTGGGCATATAGTAACCTGATTTAAGAATTAGGACCTCAATCTGTCGAGGCCCAGTTTTCAAATTTGGGAGCCTAAAGTTAGGCACCTGAATATCCACTTTACAATACAGGTTTTTTAGTGCTTAAATATAGATTTGGTTTCCTTATTTTGGGCACTCACATTTGGAAACAGGCCTACAATGCCATATGATGGTGATAAGACAATTTCCCTACCTAACAGGTGTGGTCTGAGTCATTCAAGTTTATGCCTCACTGAGCCACTCAGACTAAAGGTGCCCTGAAGCCAATGAGGCGGGGGGTTGCTCAGGTGTCCGGAATTTTCCCAGAAAATATTTATGGTAATTGACTATTTCTTAAATCTAAGTTAAAGGACATTCATATATTAGTCCATGTAAGTCAGATTTTTTTTTCCAAAACCCAGTTAGTGAAAATGTAATCAATGGGTATTCTGACCTGGGTTTCTCTCAATATGTAATGACGCAAAAGGTTTATACTCAAACCCCAAAGTGCATGGCAATTCTTTGTTAATTTGAAAGTTTCTTTGAAATCTGAGTAAGAAAAGTTTACATGTTAATGTAGGTAATCCAGATCTAGTGACAGCACATGGCATTGCACTTCCACTGTGCACTGGGGCTTCCTGAAAGCAGCTGCAGAAAACTGTACATTGAAAAGGAAGTGGGGTTAAAAAAATGATGAGCAGTTTCCAAACTTAGATCTTTCATGCCTAGAAATTATACCTCTGGCATTTGAGGACAAAAGCTGTGAGATTAGAAGGCCACATTATAGGACAAAACTCAGGTATGACTATTGCTCAGCACATTTACCTTTTCCTCTATTTCTTTGAGTTGCCGCTTTTGAAGTTCTATTTTATCTTCTAGCTCTCGAATCCGCTACAACAAACAGGCAAAATAGAATGTAAAATGTTTGTAAAAACCAATATTTATCCAGGAAAATGCAACTTTTAAAAACCATGGATGAAAAGATACTCATTAATGCATTCAGGAGTTTTATACACACAAAATACCATGCACAGTTTAGGCCAGATACTCATCTGGAGTATATCAGCATAGCGCCATTTAAATCTTTGTCTCATTGACTTCAATGGCGTTACAGTGATTTACCACAGAAGTGGATCTGGCCCATTCTGTTTATTAGCAGAAACACTCAAGTCTTAGAATATGGGCTTTCCCCATCACCATATTGCCAGTTACATACAGACAAAGGGCAAGATTAGTACCAAAATCTTGTGGCTAAGAGTGAAATGACCTTTTCCGGGATTATTGGAGGGTTTTCACTTACCCAGCTAATTTCTAGTGGATAATATTTTACTTCACTTTAATCCCCTTTCTCTCTTTTTTTTACAACATAGCTATTCTTTTGGGGATACTCATGTGACATCAGTAGAAGATGCTAGCAGATCTGGGCCTACGGTCATTCCTCATAGAGCCTGAGAAGATCATCTTGACAATGCTCTGAGCAGGAATCCTGAGAAAAGTTCATCCTATGTAAGGACCAGTTCCAACTCCCACCAAAGTCAGTGGAGAGGTTCAATGGGAGTTAAATTGGGCTATAAATGAGGATGCAGTTCTCCCTATTTTTAAGTAGGCTTCAAAGAATTAGATTTTTGTTGGTAAACGTCAATTTCACTGTACACACACACAAATTGGCATAGATAATAATCAAAATGTATCGATAGGCAAAGTAAGACAAATGCTGCTTGGGAACTTTAAGTATATTTATTCTATTTAAGTATATTTAAGTATATTTACTTTGTATATTTTGAGAGTTGATGATGACCATTTGTGTTTTCAATGGTTATAAAAGCTTTAATTTCCTGAATCTCAGCATCTACTGTCATTAAATAGTTATTGTCTTCCCCCCACTCCCCGATAATTTCCCATAATGGTGAAAATTTAAATAGATGAAAATTTTAAAAGTGCTTACAAATAAACATTGACACGATTCTTTAAAATTATTAAACATTAAAATAATTCTGCCATCCCTACCATTAAGAATTATCTCACGTTTTGTTTCCAGAAAGGGTTCCTAAAATGACAAGTGTTGGCTCTACATTTCCTACCTTCCTTCAGTCCTTTTTTTCTCCTGTATATAAATCACATCCCTTCATTTCCTTTTATGTATTTCTAGGCCTTCTAGAGTGGGTATTTTATTATGTTTTTAGTATACTGTGTTTGTCTTAATTACAGGTACTTTGCTCTGAGTGCTTTGCTTGTGGGGTCCTATATAAATAACATTAAATTTAATCAGTCTTGTTGCCCAACCACCTAGCATTGTTCAATCCTTCTGAAATTTCTCACAATCCTCTCTAGCCTTTATTAATCTCATATGACATAAAATAATTTAACCTTTTTCCGCCTCACTATCCACCCTTTCTTCTAGCTCAGTGGTAAATATAACAAAGAACACTGGTCCTAGTATGGAATCTTGGAGCAGGTTTGAAAATGTTGTCCTTGGGCTAAGGAAGAGTTGAAAAACAACCACAGCTTTCTTCGCTCTGACTGATTCATCAGAAAAGGGACTTAAACTGAACTTTATTAACACAAGGAAGATTCAAAAACAAGATCAAAAGCAACTCAAAACATTAGTTTCAACCACCAGAGGCCTTTCTAGCTTTCAGCAAGTCGGGCAGGGAGAGCACAAGCCCTTCCTTCTCCTTTCACTTTTATAGCCCATCCCAGATCACCTATGTGGTAAGCAGAGAACTGGGCTCTCCTAATAACCCCTGAAAATTTGGGACTCAGGGAGTAACTTTATATCTTGTCACATGTAGAGAAACTTCTCCTCAACCTCTTCTATAGCTAAATTTGGTTTTGCGAACATAGATCTGAAGGCCAGAAAGGATAATTATGGTAATTTTGCATAATACAGATCATAGAACCTCACCCAATAACTTCTGCCTTAAGTTCATAACTTCTGTTTGCACTAGAGCAGGTGTTTTAGAAAGATATCCAGCCTTGATTTAAACAGTTTGAATGATGGAGAATGCACCACACATCCCTAGGTACATGCAACAGTCCCAGGGAAGAAACAAGTATAATGAGAATACAGAATTGTCTTGAGAATCACAGAAAGATGGAGTTATACATTTCAAATCCAGAGACAATGCTCCAAATTTAGGTGTTTTCACATCTTGGCCCATCTCTATTTAGTCTTACTTTAACATGTCACTTTGCACACAGATATTTCATGGAGAAGTGGTCAGCTACAGCTTCTACAGTTGCACAGTGTTGTACGTTTCTGTATCAATACTGGTTTTGAATGACGTGATTGAAATATAGTCAACCAAAATTCCTGTTGTATCATGCTGAGCCACAGAGACACAGATGGATGTTCAGAGTTATTCCGAAAATAATTAATACAAATATAAAAACCAGATTGCTGTCATGCGAAAGTGGCATGTGTACCTTTGACAACAGTAATAAATGCCCAGAGCAGAGCTGAATTAATTTCACTCATCCCCGTTAGATCTGGATTAATAAATGCTTTATCTATGCCTCAATTGAGACATATCAAGCTATCAGATGATCATTTTTCTATATATTGCAGGGATTTTGCTGTCACCATAAGCAGCCCATGTGATGAGAAACAGCAAATATAATCACCTTTGAGATTATGAATATATAATAATGTTTCCCTCCATATTATTTTAAATTATGTTTTGTTGATTGCCACTTACAACCATATCCCAAGTTTGAGTGACAGACTGTTTAATTCCCTGCACTGCCCGTCTGTGGTCTTTGTGATAGAATTTGACCATGCTGAGATAACTGGGGGGGGGGGGGAAGAAATATCCTATCACATGCACACTTTTTAAATATATCCTTCAAACCTGTCTCTTATGGATATGTCAGAACTTTAAAAGAACACCTTATTGACCCAATGTGTTTCTAATCTTAAGAGGGAAACCCCAAGCACCGTAGCAAATGCTTTATATAAAAGAACATTTTTATTAGGACTGATCAGAATTTTTCAAATTTTGACAAAATTTCAATATGGGGAGAAAAATCAGGGCAATTTTTGACTAAAGATTTATGAAGCTTTCTCCCTGTTTTTTAACCAGCTATAGTCCTGATCAAATTTTTTCTAATTAAATTACCCTCTTCTATCATTTTTAAGTTGCATAACAAATAAGTAAGATAATGGAGCTAAACATCAACCAGCTCATGTTCTACTATTCAGTGTAATCACCTCCAGTTAAAATATTGAATTTCTCTTTTAGACTTTTTACTTGTGTTGTGTGCCTTTACTTGCACTTGGTGTGTTTGCTAAGCACGTTAACATTAAGAGTGAATCAGCATAATATATAAAGCATGACAAAAGAAAAGATGATTGTTTGAATGTGATAGGAGTTAAGTTAAGGTTCAACACAGAATAGACAACTGTCCAGTGCCCAAAAGGTATATTGAGCAGTAGCTTGTGCCTCTGTGGGACTGATTGTTTGCATGTGTATTCAATTTTTTTTAAATACAAGCAAAAGCCTTAGAGAAGAGAGAGTTTCTTCCCAAGACAATGACTTTGTCCCAGAAAGGGCTCACGAGGACTGTTCAATTTATGTTGTGCACATGGATAGGTATGATTCTCTTTTCTGATTGGGCAAGGGGGAGCTCTTTTGGTCATCTTCTAGTTGGACTGGTCATGTGACAACTTTGCCAACCCAGGGTTCCCAATGAACTGATCCAGAATATGGTTATTAATAACAACATGCTGCATTTCTCTATTGTAAAAGTGCCCACTATCAAGCTGCTGTAGCTGCAGTGTGTATTGTAGAGGCTTTGTAGTCTATTGATTAAAGCACGGAGCAGCTGTTTAAAATCTTGTCGTGAGTTCTAATTCTATCACTCGACCACTCTGTGACTTTGGGCAAGCTGTTTATCCTCTCTGAGTCTTTGCATTTCCCACTGTAAAGAAAGAATAATAATAATGTCCTACCTGAAAGTGGTATTGTGAAGATTAGTCCATCTTCATTTGTACAGCAGTTTCACAGTGTGAACTGTTAGGTGATCTGGTCTGTTCTCTTTCAGTGCAAGGATGTTCTCTGCAGAACACTGAAGATCAGCTGTGACAACTACTCTTTTAAAAAGCATACTGTGCATAAGGGAGGAATATATCCACAAAGCACACTTGTATGCTTTTGGAATATTCAAACAGCATACCAGCTTCAGTAGTGCTTCAGTGTTCTGAATTCACTCCAGCTTCACAGTACTTGTTTAAAAGCCTGCAAATTAATTCTAATTGGTTTGCATGTTCAAAAGTCTGAAATCTGGCATCAAACCATATAGGACTATTCTACTGCTAACTCATGCCTTAGAGCAGAAGATGATGACCAGCTGAGACAGAAAGATGTTTCCTATCATTATATAATATTATAAAATTTTATAACAGTTGTATTAATAAAGAACCTACTCAAGCCTATGTCCTAGCCTAGGCTCTTGGGACACTGAGCAGTTACATTGTAGTGCATTTTCATACAAACAGAAGAACAAAATATTAAAGAACCAAACTAGGAAAACAGGAACATCGACAAAAGATGTGTTGTCTAACATAGAACAACAGCAATTGAGAAGAAAAATGTGTCTAATAAATTTAAGATTATTAAGAATCACACAAAGGAACTACTGTAGGCAAACAAAGAGCCACAGTGAACACAAAATGGCATAATGGGTATGTAACCCTTAAAGAGAGGTGAGCAAACATCAGTAACAACAAGGTCAGTGCAGATTCTTAACATGATTTTCCTGCATTTAGAACAAGATTTAAGGTCTGCAAAAAAAATCGATTCGCTGATTTTATTGCTGTAGAAATGGGATCATCATCAAACAGGACTCAGTAACTAATATCACTATTGGTAAGATTGTGAATAGGCTCCTCT